TTTCAATTAAAAATCTTGCTCAGTAGACGCCATGCCACAATAACACCACGTGTCGACGAGTCTAGTTGCACTGGTGTAGGGACAAACAGGTGTTCAACTCGTATCAAAGATCCGTATGCAACCTTTATAAAAAGCATCACAATACATTTGGAAGTGGTGATCGACAGGCTCTTATGTACGAATTATTAATTTTAAGATTTTTTTATTGATAGGTATATTCTGTACAGGGGTGGCCAAAAGTCTGGAATAAAATTCATAGTTTTTCAGAAAATAATTTATTCAAAAAACGCTGAAACACGTCAATTGATTTTAAGTTTTTTACATTTTTTGGTTAAATAAAAAAAAAAAATTCCAACCCTCAGCTACCCCAACTTTTTTTTTTAAATAGCAACCTATGTCTTGTGGGAGCTCGTTGAAAAGCTCATGAAAAATGGAATCCAGCCATATGGAATAAACAAGTTTTGTGTTTTTAATGACCATTTTTTTTTTGTATATGAATTAAAACTTTTTTTATAAAATAAGACTTTATCAAATTCTACTCACAGATGATTTAATGCCGCAAATGCTGAAAATTCCCTCCATTTACTGTCTGGCATTCTCCAAGGCGATAGTAAAAGCCGTCCACAGCATTACGAATTACTTGAGGTGGTATATTACGTATCTCCGCCCTGATTTTGTTCTTTAAATCCTCAATATTATCCGGTCTATCCTGATAAACTCTCTCTTTCAAATATCCCCAGAGAAAGTAATCTAGGGGCGTTAAGTCGGGGGATCTTGGTGGCCATTTAATTGTACCGCGTCTTCCAATCCAACGATTTGGAAACATTTCATCTAGGTACCCGCGAACATTAACACCAAAATGTGGAGGAGCGCCATCTTGTTGGAACCAAATTCTGTCATCGTGTAGGTCTGGATCTCTATAAGGAAAAATCTGGGCTAGCGCAGGTATCAGTTCGAATGTCAGGAAGTCTAGGTAGCGTTCGGCCGTAAGGTTTTCCTCAAAGAAAAATGGAACCAAAATTCTATCATTGATAATACCTGCCCATACATTAAGTTTTTGAGGGTGCTGCGTATGCGCTTCGGATACCCAGTGTGGATTTTCCTGAGACCAAAAGCGACAGTTGTGCCTATTAACCATTCCATTCAGATAAAACGTAGCCTCATCCGAGAAAATTATATTCAGTGGAAAGTCATTGTTGTTGTCACACCGTCTCATCATTTCCTCGCAAAATTCCAAACGCCTATCATAATCGTCTTCCAAAAGCTCTTGAACAAGGCATACCTTATATGGATGATATTTCTCTTTTTTTAAAAACCTTCGAATTGTAGTTCGAGGAACATCCTGAGTGAGTGCTACAGAAACAGTTGAAGCATGAGGATTTTCAGCAAGTTGTAATGCTATATCCAATTTTTTATCATCATCCAAAACAACTGTTCGACCAGATTTAGGCAAATCACGTACTGTACCGTTTTCCTCGAATTTATGAAACATTTTACTCACTGTCCCTTGCGAGATTTGGTTTTCAGGATATTTGACATTAAATAAATCACACACTTCGCGTTGACTTCTCATTTTGTCTCCACATCCAAGTAGTATCAAAATTTCGATACGCTGCCTTTCCGACAATACCATTATGGTTTCAAAATTATTTTGGTTTCCGACACAATAATATTCACTACCCTTCCGATTTACAACTAAAGTAAACAATTCAACTGAACAGTCTGGTAGATGAAAAAAGACGAGAAAAATACCTAATTTTTTTGCTAGCAACAATAGTAATAAAGGTTCAAATTTTCTATCTCATTTATTTATTGAAAATATGAATGTTTATTTGGTATAGCCGAATAGCATTTTTGATGAGCTTTTCAACGAGCCCCCATAAGACATATGTTTCCATTTAAAAAAAAAAGTTGGGGTAGCTGGGGGTTAGGGGGTAGGAAAAAAAATTATTTTTTTTTTACCGAAAAATGTGAAAAAATCAAAATCAATTAACGGGTTTCACCGTTTTTTGAAAAAATTAACTAGCTGAAAAACAATGAATTTTATTCCAGACTTTTAGCCACCCCTGTATAATGATACTATGTAGTGATTTGTTCAGGAGTGAAATCTATAATTCAGTTTTCTACAGAACTGCTTAAAAATAAATTGGTTTTAATTTAATCTTGGTTTAATTTCTTGAACTGACCACACATCTCACTGAAGCAGAAATGGGCACCATAAAGCTAAAAGTTTTACTATTTGGCCAAATGGATGCAGATTTTCGCATGCATTTTTTTGTTTATATGTATTGCGGCATTAAGACGATCAAGAATATGATTTGCGGTAAATAACCGAAACTGCTATATAAGAGTGTTAAAATGCTTGAAATGAATTATGATTACAGCACACGGCAATGTACCTAGTGGTTTTGTTCTTTACTCAATTTCTGGGTAATGGTGAGAGCTACAATCTGTCAACGTCTCGAAACCAAGTACACAACTTTAAAAATGTATGAAGGTCGAAAGATGGATCGTTTTTGTTTGAACTTATTTAATGTCTTGAAAAATATAGGTTTTTGTTGTAGGTACCTATACAAGAAACAACAGTGACTTCTCGTCGGAAAACCTCCCCTTGCAACTTATTATCTCCAACAGCATCCCAAATACAAAATATGCTTATGTTAATACATACATTCGTGAGCAAAAAAGTGAGACACCGGTCTGACAGGTCTTGTCATTTTTCGCTACTTTGGGTAAATCAGTCTTTTCTCTACAATGGATTTTTTATCAAATATGACAATCCCTGTCATTGCCGTAGGTGTAGCTGGTGAGCTCGTTTTAGAATAGGAAAAATCGGGTGTAATACAAAATATGCTTATATTAATACATACATTCGTGAGCAAAAAAGTGAGACGCCGGTCTGACAGGTCTTGTCATTTTTCGCTACTTTGGGTAAATCAGTCTTTTCTCTACAATGGATTTTTTATCAAATAAGACAATCCCTGTCATTGCCATGGGTATAGCTGGTGAGCTCGTTTTACAATAGGAAAAATCGGGTGTCACACTTTTTTTGCTCATGACTGTATGTACAGGGTCTGTTCTTCTTAAACAAAAAAAAAAGTTAAATACAAAAGTTGTAAGGTTTTACCTCTATCATCTTTTGCACATGTCAAAATGGGCAAATGACAGGTGCCAACTGTCATGATGACAAACACTTGCATTTTTTTCCAATGGAACATATTATTGGCTAGAATGATTTATTTTTTTCTTCTGATTCCAAATATACAGGGTGGGCCAATGCAAACTTAATTTAAGATTTTTTGTTTTGAGTGGTAGAAGCCGCACTAATTATAAGGAACAGACCCTGTACCTACATTCTTTTCACACCAATGAAGTTTATTGCACCTAAATTACTACCAATACATGGAAAAAATCCTAATTATACCCTAGATCGCATATGCTACATGGTGTATCAAGTTTGAGTACAAATATTTTAACATGAGATATTAATGCCCATTCTTGGGAGTCCAATTATTCAGTAGTAAAATTTATTTGTTGAGCGACGAGTGGTATACGGCTAGATTATTTCTTGAATTATTTCCATTAAAGTCAAAAACAAATAAAAGTTTTATAAAATGCCTATCCAAATTCTGTCAAAAAAGGTAGGCACCTAAACAAAAATTTAATGGCGATTAAACAGGCTCTTGTGATTAAATCACTTATTTAAACAAAATTTATTCAAAAAATGGCGTTGTCTGATTGATTTCATAATGAGGGAAATAATCAAATCTATAGTCTGTTCATATTTATCCAGAAACATTTGCTGTGTAAAGAACCAAATATGATGTCCTGAAGCAACTCCAATCCAAAAATTTGTCTGTAGACAGGTTTTAATTTTTCCTATAGGTACTTCACCGCATACCTACTTATCTAAAATAAATTATCATACCATTTCTCATCATTATTTGAAAAATGCACACTGTTTTACTCGCTGTTTCATGTAAAATCAGTCTTCTAAGTGTAGAACAATGTACAACCTTGTCCAGTGGTAGATCAACAGCGGCCAACAAAGTGGCAGGAATTATCGCTTTTAAAACGGCATCGTTTGCTATAATTAGATCATTATTTTTTATTCTGATTTCAATACGGATTTGCCAAAACTTTTTTGGACATCAACACCAACCTAAATAAAGAATCCTAAAAACACGAATTATTTATTCGATAGGTACACAGTGACTTTATTATTTATTTATTTTTTCAAACACATGCGACAATAGCAAATAGACACATTTACTCATTGGGAGGGAAATCTGGTAATTATTACTTTGATGTACCTTTGTACCACCAAAATTGGTTTCGCTCACACCTAATTCTTCTAAAAAAGCATAATTACGTTTGATTGTTTATAAGAAAATCGGATTTTCAAGAAATTGCACTAACAGACTTATTATCATCTGAAATTTTTCGCATTAAAATGCTTATTTCATTCAAAATTATCAGTTGTTTGAAGAACTTTATGTAATTATGGTCTTTGCCAAGGGCGTATCCAGAAGGGGGCAGCTGCCCCCCCTTTCTAACCAGACTTTCTGAAAGAATCTATCAGACAATGAAATGCAAATAGATTAACAATTTGTAAAAAAATAAAGTAAATTTAATCAATTTAGTGTAGTGATAAATGTTTAATATCACATATTAGGTACCTACCATTATTATTATTATTATTATTATAACTTACATATCTATAGTTTTAAACAGTGACACCCTCGTTGCTCGCTCAACTATCACTACTTGTACTTGGCTGGGTAACCTGTAATTCTTATCTCTTCAGTTTTACGGCCCTTTTCTTTTGATTTGTGATTTTATGAAAAGAAATATAAGGTCTTAAAACCGAAGAGATAAGAATGGCAGGTACCCAGCAACCCAGCCAAGTAGTGATAGTTGAGCGAGCAACAGGGAAGTATTTTCATTGTTCAAGAGAGTAAGTACATGTTTGATTGGACGAATGGAAAAGAAGTACTTCTCGTTGTGTAACTTTCTACAAATTAGAAGGTATTGGAGGAGAAAGTGAATTATGGTTTAAAATGTGGAATCCTGTAACTACAGAAAACACCAGACATTACTGAGGTTTAAAAAAAAAGTGAATTGGTTTTTCCGACAATTAGAAAAGCTCTTATGATACTACTTTCATAACTTTCAAAACCATATGCACCACCAGCACTATCGAGCGTTCATTTAGTTGATGAATATCGGCTTTCGCCAATGAGACAGCATTTTCAGTAATTTTTTGTTTAAATTTTTCATTTTCTTTTATTAATTTATTTAATAATCTGACTGAAATCTACAAAATATTATTAATTCTCGGTTGCATTCAAGTATCTGCATCAATAAATATCATAATTTGCCATATTCCCGGCACGTGAAAGTGGCCTATTGGTGGAAGATGTAGTTAGCAAGTTTGCAAGCAATCCAGGTAAACTGTTACCCAGAAATTCAGTTTTCTCCAATAAAAGGTAGGTATATCACAAGGTTCTAAAATTTAATAAGGTTGTCTGGTAATGAGTAACTTGATGACGCATCTGGAGTGCCTTATGGAGATTTGCTGGATGTTGAGGCACCCCAGATGACGTCATAAAAGTTATCAGGCAACCTACCTCTCTCGCACAACCTTGGGTATATCCCTTTTGTTATTATGTATTATTTTACGCATCCTCCCCTGTCCTTAAAAAGGCTATCAAAACGTAGGCGTCATAGACGATGGAATTCAGAAAGCTGCCCCCTCTTTTGCTTTGAGCTGGATATGCCCTTGGTCTTTGCTGAAAAAAATAACGCATTATCGAGTAGATGGACAGTGGGGCAAGGAATTTCCTAATTCGCAGTATGAACAACATAAATTATAAAAAATATATTTACGCGTGTGGATCAAATTTAAACCTCGATTTAAAGAATATATTGACTGTTTTTACATAATACCGAATAAATAAAAACGGCTAGTTTTGAAATTTAAACAAATTAAAAATAAAATCCTGAAAAAGCACCGACGTTAAATTTTGACCACAATTGAAACCAAGCTGGCCATCATTCCCACAATGGGAGTATTTAGCTACCTACGTCACACCAAGATGTAACGCCAACAGTTGCATTATTTTACATTTGATTATTCTGCATTGAAACGGTTAGGGATATATTTAAGTTGGGGTCAAATTGTGCTCAAATTTTAAATCGATCCTCTAGTAAACTCAAAAATACAAAAGAACTGCTTGACTAAGGTCAACGCTTGTTAATTTTAATCATGGCTCAAATTTAACAAAAATTTCAATAAAAGTCTAATAAACAAATAAATAGTGAGGAACAAAAATAATACTTTGAAACATAAATAAACTAACAGCTTATTAACTGTCATCACACAAATTGACAGTGCTAAAATGTTTTGTACAGTTTTGAAAGCCTACTATTCTGTGGACGAATTTATGTGTGATAATGTTCTTTGAAGTCTTTGTAAACTTGATTTTGAACTTTTTTAGATCTCAATTTTGGTTTGAGTTCCAAAGTCTATAGGTTTGTCAGTGATATCTTTGGAATATAAAACTGCATTTGATTCGTGATCACATCAAGAGCAGAGTTTGATGTAGGTACTACTAACTAACTATACTCATTAAATCAAAAATAACTATCCTAAAAATTTAAACACATTAAAAAATAAAATCCTGAAAAAGCAACGAATGCTTATTAGGATTTTAATTATGGTTCAAATATAACAAACACACATAAAATCCAATAAACAAATAGTGACTTGGAGTGAAAACATAAATAAAACTTTGAAACAAAAATAAACTAATTTATTATGCAACAGCTTGAATATGTTTGTAAACTGACATCACACAGATTGACAGTGCTAAAAGGTTTGATACAGACGGAAAGAAAATAGTACTTGAGAAAGTTTACCTGTTAAAAAATTTCTGTGCCCTAATACTCTCTGAGCACCTTAAAGCATCGAAAACTTAATTTTGAACTTCGTTCTGAAAAATTACGATTTTAATTTTGGTTTGAGTTCCAAAGTCTATAGGTTTGTCAGTGATATCTTTGGACTACACAACTTCAGTTAATTGGTGATCACATCAAAAGCAGATTTTTCACTTCAAAATATTCAAGCTGCTCATCAACTAACTAACACTACACCTACTCATTACTCATTAAATCAAAAATAACTATGTACTCTAAAAATGTAAACACATTAAAAATTAAAATCCTGAAAAGGCAACATCAAATTTTCACCACCCTATATTGGGGCTTCCTCTACAAAACGTCAAATTTTCACCACCCTATATTGGGGCTTCCTCTACAAAATTCCAATAATTACCAGCTTTTTTTTATATATATATTTGACGTTGGTCATAGAAGCTGGCTATTTTTATATTCTTTCCCACAATGGGTGAATTTTTCTACCTCGCACAAGATGTAGTACCTACTGCATCATTTTACATTTGATTATTCTTTTTGAAACAGTTATAGATAAATGAATTTTAGGGCCAATAGGCCCCTTGTATCAGTTTTTTTATTGCTGATTTCGTTAGTCAGTGAAAATAAGTCAAAACGTGTTTTTTCTTTTTCTTGTTAGTCAAAAATTGGCGAAGAGAAACGCTTTGAAATGTGCTTATGACGTCATAACTTATAATACTTTATGACGTCGCACATGCTCAGGATATCTATAACAAAACAATATTTGTATAACTTTCGGAATAATCGTATTTGGACAATAAACAATAATCTATTTAATTTTTCATGCAAGTAGGTACCCTATTGTGGACAAATTTTAAATTGATCCTCTACTAAACTTAGACATACTTAAACCGGTTGACATAGGTTAACACTCGTTAGGATTTTAATCATGGTTCAAATTTAACACAAGTTGCACTCATAAAATCTAATAAGCAAATAAATAGTGGAACAAAAACAAAAATAATACTTTGAAACAAAAATAAACTAACTTATCCTGCAACAGCTTGAATATTTTTATAAACTGCCATCACACAGATTGACAGTGCTAAAAGGTTTTGTACAGAGGGCAAGAAAATAATAGGTATATGAGAAAGCCTACTATTCTGTCAACAAATTTCTGTGCGCTAGTGTGCTCTGCGCATCATTTAATGTTGAAAACATAATTTTAAACTCCGTTATGAAAAATTCTGATTTTATTTTGATTTGAGTACCAAAGGTGATATCTGATATCTTCGGACTATTGATTGATTATCACATTAAACGCGGAGTTTTTACTTCAAAATATTCAAGCTGCTCAACAACTAACTAAAACTAATTCAAAAACTCAATTAACTGGTTCTATAAGTGCGTTAATGAACTGATTGAGCAAAAGCGGTATAGTTTAAGCAGTCTTCTTACGCCTTTTTCGGGTTTTTGATACGTGCTTTTTGTCGGTGGTCTTAGAAACGCAAGGATTTTCAGTTGGTGCTTTTGGTGGAGATGTGTCAGTTTCTTGAAACATTCTTCTAACTTTCTTAGGTGTTCGTCGTGTTTTGTTGTCATGTTCAACAGACTTGAGATGCATTATGTTTTCAGACGTGAGTGAATGAGTACAACCATCCAAATCAATTATTTCTGATGATTTCAGGACCTTCTTCGAGGTTATGTCCTTGAAAGAACCTTCTTCAGGTGTTTCACTATCGTCTTCTGAAGATTTATTTTCCGAGTCTCTTTTTCGCGATCTGATTTTTGAAGTATTGGACTTATTGTTTGTTGGTGTTTTTGGTGTCAAGTCCATAGAAACTGTTGAAGATGTGTCCGACTCTTCAATGGGACGTTCGTCCAAATACTTGACAGTTTCCTCTTTATTCATTTTATGCGTATGCATGAATATCAATAAGCATAGTTCTGGAATAAGCACCCCAAAAGTATACCTCAGGTGCCTTTCCTCAGGATCAAATTCTTCTCGTATTAAATTCGCCATACAATTTATTTGCGGATAAGAAAACACCAGGTTGCTGGGGTTGTATGGCGGCATGTTTGAATTTGTTTTGTGAAAGTGCTGGTGTTTCTCTGAATATTGTGTTCCATTCTTTATGTTTAGTAAAGTTGTTTTGTTTTCAATGAATTGCTCGTTAATTTCCTCTAAACTTACATGTTTGCAATCTAATAACTTGATTGGTGGTTTAACTGGTGCCTTTGGTGAGTTAATGAAGGGGTTAGGCAAAAGCGGTATAATTTTAGCTTTATCAACTAGGGCGCGATAAGTCTCAAACTTCTTTCGTGAGGCTAAAATTTCTTGAACTGTGGGAATCTCCACTCCGTATTTTTTGAATGATTCTGATTGTTTGGGTAAATTTGCTTCGCTTTCTCGCATTTTTCGCACTAGCGCTTCCGGTGGAAATGTCTCGGATTCGGATTTTGTTTCAGGGTTTTTCTTCTTGTTACGATATTTTCTTCGAGATTTTTTTTTAGGAGTCACATCATTTGAATTAATTGTTTTTGATGATTGTTTCTTCGTTAATTTTTTTTTTGAAGTGGATGCCGACTCCTTAGTTCTAGCAGTTTCTTGATACATTTTTTCAGCTTTCTCAAGTGTTTTTCGTACTTTCCTTTCATGTTCTCTAGACTTGAGATGTGTTAGGTTTCCAGGGGTGAGTGCTTTATCATCAGAAACAATTTCTTCCGATGATTTTAGAACTTTTTTCGAAGATACAATCTCAGAAGATCCTTCTTCACTACTGAGAGTATCATCTTCTAGAGATTTACTTTTCAAGTATCTTTTCTGTGATCTGATTTTGGAAGTAAATGGAATATTTTTTAGAGATGACTTCAAACATTTCACTATAGTTTTCTGTGGTGCTTTTTCCGTTCTCAAATCCCTTTTTGATAAATTCTCTTTGGTAGTACTTCCAGAAAGTTTGGGGTTACCAATTTTCATGTGCCTAGTTTTTATTGGCTGTTTCTTTGCCTGTCCTTTCAATTTGAGGGATCTTTTTGTGGCTCCCGCACTGACTGTTTTTTTTTTCTTTCGAGGACATGTTTTTGGTGACGAGTCCATAGAAATCTTTGCAGATGAGACAGACAAAATTTCTTGTGAGGGATTTTTGTTTTCTCCAATTAAATCAGCATCTGAATCACTGATTTTTGATGTATTTTTTGAAGAAGACTCTGAAAATTAAGTGATAGATATCGTTTTTTTTTTACCATAGCATATCTGAATTACTAACCTACAATTTGTTGCGACATTTTCTGACTTGAAAGATGTTCCGAGTCCATGTGTCCAAACCCAGCTATGGCACTTTTTTCACACTGAACTGTAAAAAAATCCCACATTTGAAAGACTTTTGGAAGGACACAATCTAATTATATCAATAATTTGCATGTTTGTGGGATGTTGGACAAAAAAATTATTGTTGTTAAGGTTTGTTGGGATGACTAAAAGACTGCTGAACTTCCCTTTTATATTTATAGACCGTCAGATAGTTTCATATTTAGGTGCCCCATTTTCGCATACAAGCCTCGAAGAGGGTTGACAAGTACATCGATTTTGAGTAGGATGAAGGTATTTTTACGAATGGCTCCTGGGGATAACGCGAGGGATAACGTATGGAAAATTCGATTTTCCGTAACAGAAATGAAAGACGTCCTATTGTCCATATTTTTTCGCAAGCCGCGTTAGCCAAAGGATTAATTAATAAAACCTGGCTTCGTAAAAACAAATAAGGGGGGGTTGCAGGTGGCTAAAGGTTTGAAATAAGGGCGAAACTTTGTGAGGAAAAATCGAGATTTTTCCACACAAGCCCATTGGAAGGATTAAAATGTACAACTTTGGTAGCAGGAAAACATATTTTCTTGAGTGTCGCTAATGGAAAAGTACATTTAAGAGTAACATAAGTTAAATCGAATTTTCCATATGTTATCCCCAGGAGCCACTCCTAAAAATACATTAAACCTACTCAAAATCGATGTACTTTTCAACCCTCTTCGAGGCTTGAATGCGAAAATGGGGCACCTAAATATGTCACTATCTGACGGTCTATTATATTTTATTTACAATAATCTAGGCAAAATCAATATATGTATACAGATTACAGGTTGACTCATTGAGCGCGCGGTGGTCCATATCTCGTTTAACAATAGAGATCGAAAAAAGTTATTAAGAAACTAGTACTTCATTTTTAAATTATTCTTCAATAAGTAGTAATGACTCAAAGTTATGTTGCTTTTTTTTAATGCCCCACACTGTATATTTTCACACTATCGGATTTGTACTTTAAATAAAGATAACTTCTCTTAATAACTGTCTATACTTATCTCCAGCCATAATTGGAAAAAAAATAATTTCCGAAATTTCATGCCAAAAGATTATGAGTATGTACTTAGAATAAGTTCCGATTTATTGCTTATAGAAAATAATACTGAATTAAAATTTGAGTCATAATTGAACAAAGTTTAGAGGAATTACAATATGTTGCGTAAACTCTTGGGTGGTGTATGAAAAATGTGCTTATTGCTCTTCAAATCCAGGTTGAATACCAGTCGGAAATCATTTTGACAAATGGTTTGACATATATGGATCAATTTAAATAGTTTTTTCTATAATTGTAGCATTTTTTGACATTTACTGACTCAGTAACGAGTCTATTATACGTAATGAAACGTTCGACGTCTTTAGTCGCTAGGTGCGTCAGAAACGCGACTATGGCTGTTCAAGTTCAGTAAAGTTCAAAAATAAACTAATTTTAAAAAAAAATAGTGTTTTCATTCGAGCCAAACAGCCATTTTGTGTGAATAATAAATGTCGAGACAATCACTAATAAATTTAAAAAAAACAGAACCATAATAATAATTTGTGGATATTATTTAATTTGTCTATTTCCAAATCCTTAAGCTCCTAAAATAGAAATAGGTACCTATTCATGAGTATTAGAAAAAACGAATAAAATTCTTGAAAATTAGTCAAATCATTTGTAAAAACTATTTTTGACTGGTATCAAACCAAGTTAGATAAGATAAAAGGTATACGAACATTAATATAATGACAGAATTTTATCAGAATTGCGATAATGCAGTAATAATAAAATAGGCACATTCCATTCGAAATAAGCAAGTTATTCATACTTTTATGAATCATTCACTAATCATTAGATAATAATAGTAATAATGCTTTATTGTCAAAAATTAATGTACATAATTTTTCGTAATTTTCCTAGAACCCTATGTTACTATACAATTCTTCATGGTTTTCAAGATATTCGAATTTTATTGATTGTAACAAACATGGTTACATTGGTTAAGAAAAAGAAATTTGCAAAAAAAACAACGAACCCATAATTGAATTTTTTTCCTAATTATGAGCAGGAATGTCTGTCTGTCTTTAAGTTTTTATGGGTATGTGAAGGTTTTTTCTTTTTACTAAAAAACGAGCCAAAAAACTTGAAGGGAGTTTTTCTCTCTTATTCATTGAATAAAACAAAAATAAGAGGGAAAAACTCCCTTTAAGTTCTTCATATAGACTTTCAAAAAAACCATGTCCCGTAAGTTGACAATTTTTCTGGAACTGATATACTGTCGTTCCAAGTTAAGAACACCGTTTAAAAAAATGTGGAGAATTTAAGTTCATAGAAAACATAGTTGTGACGTACACTCACAATAAAAAAATGAGGCGTTTAATAATTGTTATTTGTTAACAACTTGAGCGGAAAGTACATATTTGGGACACCGACACCAAACCAAGAAGTTGGTGAAGATATTATATTAGGTTCAGAGAGACGCTACTGTGGGAACGTTCAATTACCATATGCATGAACTGAAGCTACTAGACGCTAGACGTCTGTCTGTAGCTGTTGCAATTTTATGGCTGGTTTATACAACATTTGCATAGTCGTAATCATAATCATAGTCTTAGTCATAAGAGTTAAAATAATATTTTCTTATGGAACCGTTTATACACAAATCGTTCGTTCCAACCCCCCGTTTTCGTATCGTCATGAAACGGTTTCGGAACTGTTAGGATCGATTGCAGGCGCATGCGTTGACCTTGCACGGTTTTATCTTGGTACAGAAACAACGGGTAGTTGGAACGGTTTCATGATCGTTTTTGTAATGACGACAGTTCAAATAACTTTAACCCTAAATTTGTTTGTTTGCAAATTAAAATAGAAGAATATAGGATTAGGATTACAAAATAATATATAAAAAAGGAAAATCGAACACCAACGCTGATTCATTATCAAGAATCTGAAACTGAATCCTTGCAAGCTGATAACATCAAGGATTAGCAAATAGCTGATAATAAATTTTGTACTTTTTTTCACTTGAAAAAATAAAAATGCTACAGTTTTATAAGTTAGATTGGAAATTGGTTGTTTAACAACAACATGAACAACAACAACAGGTGACAAAAATTGAATTACGCATGTCAGTCATGAATCAGTCCACGCGGTTCTTGCTTTCCACTCGGGATCGAAATGACGGTGCTAAACCCAGTTCTCGAACGATCCCAGGTTTGGTTGGAACGCCAACGAAACTGTACGGTAAACGATCATCTCTCGGTTGGAACGCCTTTAACCTATGGCGCATGACCGTGACCGTACATTGAACGGTTTTTGGCTGGGTTGGAACGAACCTTATAATCATAAGCATAAGCATAACTCAAAGTTGGCAACTTTTAACTTTTATGATTATGACTAAGACGAGATCCAAACTGCGCAAGCGCCATTATCAGCTGATACAGAAAAAAACAATTCAAATCTGCTATTTTAGTTCTGTTTGTATTTAAATTGATCTTGAGTCATTCTAGAGTATTTAAAAAAAAGGGTCTCCATCGAGCTTCTACATGTCTTTGAATAATGTGGCAAAATGCCCTTCCTTCTGCCTTTTTTTATTGAAGGGACTCACTTTCCACCTTCTTTGTTTATGGTTTGCGTTTGTTGAAGTTGTTTATTAGCAAAACTCAAAAATAAATAGGACAGACCTATCACTTGTATGGTTTTTTTTCGCAGAATTTTAATTTCCACACTTTTTGAAACTTTTAAAAAGTATTAAAAGTGAATAGACGAGTTCGATTCGCAAAAAGTAAACAAATTCTCCCTACAAAAAGTCGGGTTAGAGTTGATTTTATTTTATGCTTATGACATTGTATAAACGCCTTCTAAAATTGTGATTATGATAGACTAAGACTATGATTATGATTACGACTATGCAAATGTTGTATAAACCAGCCATTAGTTTTACAGCTGTAAATAAGTAGTCGTGATGGGGTATGATATATTTTTAAAAGAATTTGTCAAACAGAAAAAATAACTCTAAAGTATGAAATACACTTACGTCGTTTCCTAATCAATAAAAAAATATAAGATAAATACTAAATACCTCAACACAGACCGCAATCAACGGCGCCAACAGCCCCCAACAGCCAACCTGCAAACCAATTAAAAACAACAAGCAACTTGTAACCATGGAAACATGAGATTGACATCTGACAATTGTAATATTGCATAGTAGCGTTTTCGCTAAGTAGAATCAGAGTGGTTGTATTGACTCCCAATCGGGTTATTCGATATAATGTCGGTGACTTTTGACAATCTCAAAATCATGAAGTAAGCCAGTTCGCGTGTCTGTTTTCTTTTAACTTATCAGGTCTGTTTCTGCAGAAATCACAAACCAGTCAGAGTGAATTTCATTGGTTGAAACTAGTTTTCCGACTGTTTTCAACCAATAAAATTCGCTGTGACTGGTTTGTGTTATCTGCAGAAACAGACCTATCATTATGGACTATCAATCTTTTTGTTGATTTTGATATATTTCAATGCAGAAAAGTGTAAATTATTATATGCACTAATGGGTGCTGCTGCTGCTGCTTGCTGGATGGGCAGTAGTGACGGTTCTGGCCCGGCATCCTTGGTTGGTTGGGTAAGAGTTTATCGGCTGGCTTCCTATTTCCCGTTTTCTCTATAGGTGGGGGAGGATATGTTCCGCTGTTCCGTCTTCAGTTTCCACTTCTGCATCCAGGTTTCCAGAATGTTGGTGTACCTATAAAAGGTATACGAGCTATCTCTGGAGTTTGAAGGTGATTAGCCTGGTGTTAATGATGCTCGTGACGACGGCTATCGGCTGTGTCGTCGGCGAGCTCGGAGTGGCGCTCCACTTGCCTTTCTTTTGTTGTCCCCGTCTCTAATTCTGATGAATCTTGCTAGACGGGTCGTTTGGTGTACTGCAAAAAGGTGGGCTCTGATTTCTGAACCCGAACTCCTGTTCTCTTTTTCCGGCTGGATGATGGATAGCAGGCTAGGCTGATCGGCCGGTTATTGGTCGGCTGATACATAGCTGTCTTGTTTTTGTGTATGAGTAGGATGTCTGCGGTTCACTATGTTTTTATGCTCCATATTCTGCTTGTCGGGGAGTCGTCGCACGACCATGTTGCTGATTCTGTCTTAACTAGGACGTGGATTCTGTGTTCTGTCGCTTTCTACATGTCGAATTCTAGTGTCGATTTCTACATTCAAATAACGGAATACGAAATATCAAACGCGACATGTCGCTAATAAATCCCCCCATTCCAAAATACCAGTTGTGACGTAGCAGCATGTTATTTCTCGCCTTGACGTAGGTTGTTTAAACAACTGACGATTTAGTTATGGCGTTGGCAATGGTGGCACACCAATATGGCGGCGATTACCGAAAACGAGGCCGATAACTGATAAGCACTCCTACACACAGGCCCTATGAGGATAGGCCATCCTGTAGTAGTAGTGTGTATCATCCTTGATAAGCCCAACGCAAAAGAGAACACTAAAACGAGCAGGATCTTATCGTTTCGACGCGCTCAGAGTTTACAGAGTGTAAAAAGCCGAACTCAGCCGTTTAGTTCAATGGCCGTGATGAAGGTGTAATCGGCGGTGTAACACCGAATACACCATCATTTTGTACCGAGCTTGTAGGGAGTAAACGGTATTCCACCATCTCTACACCATTCGGAGATCAAATTATTTCCAAACGCAAATAAAGCGTACACCAAACTCTCCTACCAAAGCTGAGTTCGGAATGGTACAAGGTGTCGACACTTTTTACACTATTGACACTGTGGCGTTCGTTAATTGGTAGGAGTAAGTTTAGTGTACACTTTATTTGCGTTTGGAAATGATTTGGTGTCCAAATGGTGTAAATACTGTGGGACACCGTTCACTCGTTACAAAATGATGGTGTATTTGGTGTTACACCGCCGATTACACCTTCATCACGTGATACAACACTACACTACACGAACACCGCACTAGCACTGCACTAAAATCCCATTCCGAACTCAACTCAATTAACGAATTCCACAGTGTCAATAGTGTAAAAAGTGTCGACACTTTTGTACCATTCCGAACAAACCTCGAGAACAGTGAATCGGAATGGTAAAAAACGGAACACATTCAAATTAATCATCAGTCAAGTATCTCTTTGGTGTGTAGTGTATCCTGGATTTTTGTGCTTCTGTGTGTCCATGGTTTGGGGTCCGGTCCAGTCAAGTGGCGAGCCGAGTGTCCAACTGTCCAGTCCATACCAGTCAGTCATAAAAATATCAGTGCTAGTGCATTGTGCATTTGTGCATGAGCATTGGTCATAGGATAGTATCTAAGTATCCATTGTGTATTGTGATTATTTGTTTTTCCTTAAGAAAATACAAATAATAAATAATAATCCAGGATGTACAGCATCAACAACGTAAGTATGGTTTGTTTTGCATTGCATTTTCCCAATTTAATTTAAGGTCAAACTGCTTCTCAAGTGAGTGGCTACAACTGAACTTCTTATCTAATAAGCTTTTTTTTACTTTGAAGACAACAAAAACAGGAAAACTCGAAGGAAAACTGATGGCAACTATGAAACCTTACCGGGAACTTATTTTGCTGCTAAACCGTGTTTTGTTGTGGGATAAACCATGGTATTCAACAGCAATTTTGGCAGGTATGTTATAAACCAAATATATATATGCCTATATTATTGTCAAAACATTTTGCATTCACAATTTGCGATTTCTAATTGCTCTAAAATAATTGTCGTTTTGAGCTTACATTTTATTTTGTTACTATCTTTAATATTTATTTAAAGTGCGAACAATGTCATTCAAGGTTATAGTAAAGTTGTTTTATATGACTAATTTCCAAAACATTTTGCGGTATTGGATTATATGTTAGGGTTTCTCTATAGAGTGGCGAATTCCCAGTCTTTACAGTTTCTTATCCGATCGGCATTGTCTACATCATAAATATGATAATTTTTGACTTGTATAATTTGAATTAACTTAAATGATTTTTATGAGCTTTTATTATTTACCGAGTTGTTTACACTTTAGATAAATTTTGTTTGTTCAGATTGTTTTATTTTTTCAATGCCAAGGATTTTTGTTTGTTGATTAACTTCCATTATCTGTGTATAAAAGTTTATTTGAAAAATTATCTTTCCTGAGAGTTTGTTTACTTTTTGCGAATCGAACTCGTGTATTTCTTTTTATACTTTTTCAAAGTTTCAAAAAGTGTGGAAATTAAAATTCTGCGAAAGAAAACCATACAAGTGATAGGTCTGTCCTATTTATTTTTGAGTGGTTGAAAGTGAAGCCTATCAATAAAAAAAGGCAGAAGGAAGGGCATTTTGCCACGTTATTCAAAGACATGTGAAAGCTTGATGGAGACCAATTTTTTGAATACTCTAGAATGACTCAAGATCAATTTAAATACATACAGAACTAAAATAGCAGATTTGAATTGTTTTTCTCTGTACCAGCTGATAATGGCGCTTGCACAGTTTGGTCTCGTCTTAGTCACAATCATAAAAGTTAAAAGAAAAGTTGCCAACTTTGAGTTATGCTTATGCTTATGATTATGATTTGTGTATAAACGGTTCCATAAGAAAATATTATTTTAACTCTTATGACTAAGACTATGATTATGATTATGACTAAGCAAATGTTGTATAAACCGGCCATTATCTACATAACAACCAGCACTATTTCACCAGAATTGAATTAAAGAATTAAATAGTTTTTTTTCCAATATCTGAGAAATAATTACTGGACTCTTTGGCCATAACAGCTCCATGCTTTATAATTACTTCTTTGTTTTTTGGATTTGTTCGATTTTGTTTCCTTATCCCACATAATTAATTTTAGATCTGCCATGCCTTTTTAAATCATTTCCAGTTTCATTTTTCAATGTTTTTTTCTCAAGTTCGTTTTTCTCTTATGTAAATACATTACACCCTGCATTACACATACATTAAAACACTACCTTCAAAAACAAATGTATTGTATTTTTCTATTCTAGGTACTTAACACTCGTCTTGGTCGAGAGTCTCTTCGTTTTTTCTCTTTCCTATTTCTGGTCCCTTGCTGGGGTTCCCAAAATGTGATAGGAATTATAAATACTTGAATAGTTAACTAATGCCTGAACAATTATTAACTGGGTTCCATGTAGTTGGGTTTTCTCTTTACATAATTTTTTTCTAATTTACAATTTCAAATTTTGTTAGCATGTTCACTTACTTAATGACAGTTTTTTAAAAAATATAGGTACTTGAGTATTCACTTGGTTACTCGCTTGGTTACTTATTAAAATATTTCTCAAGAACCTGACACTTGATTTTTTTATAATACAACAGAAATCTTTTATACAAAAGTTTGAATTTCAGTTGTGATATGTACAGTGAGAATCATTGCAATTGGCACATACTTTATGAACATCCCCCGTTATGTGTCAAGATTTTACTTTAACACACAGGTAATATCAGATTGATAAATCAGTGGTGAACATACCTAATAAACTGTTAAAGGAAGAAAATATTTGTTTGCTAAAATGGTTTACCATATGCTTGAAAATTACGAGAAGGCAAGAGCTTGGGCAAGGGCAAGAGGCAATTGAAATGATAGCAGAGGGTGAGACATTTCGAGCAATGGCCTTAGCACTAGGTTCTGGCAGTAGCACGATTGCACGATCATGAATTTAAAGAGAAAATGGGTCGACGGGGGTGAAAATATCAGGTAAACCGCTGTACTGAATAGCTTTATTGGTACATTAAAAGAGTTTGTGCCAATTGCAATTATTCCCACTGTTCATGTTTTTTTTTTTGTTGTATCGATTTTCTTAAACACAAAAACTTCATTCAAATAGTTTCTAAGAATATTCAAACCTGAGAAAAAAACCATCATAGGCATCATCCACACGGCATAGGGTGGGCCAATTTGGACACTTTTAATAGGAAACATCATATACCTATTATACTAACGTATATCGCGCCTTCCCCATTTTCGCAATGTGCGGTTTTTGAAGCAAACAAAGAGAGATAAAGTTATATGATCTCGCATAAGTCTATCTTTGTCAAATGAAGGAGAACGAGGTTATGAACCGCGCTTGCGTTAAACTCTAGATTCTTATTGGCCGGCGGTTGCCATTTTGCATCAAGCTTTTCGTGCCGTGTTGTCATGTGAAGCTAAAAAGTACAATGAATTAGGATCATTTTTTGAGGTTATAATTTGGTCGATTGTATTTTGATTCCAAAACACTAATCAAAATGAATATATTGGTTTATTTGTCGAAATCGAGTATGTGTTACACGCACCAAAATACAAAATTCGTCATGTTTCTAGTGAATCTTTAAATAACTCGAAGATGAAAATACTTTTATTGGCAACCCTGCAATATCAGCTGTTTAGAATGAAATCTTATTGGAGGAATAACTTCAAATTGACGCATGCGCATTGGAAAAACAAGTTCACTTTAGACAAAGAAGGCATCGTTCTATCTCATAATGTTTGCTTCAAGAACTCAAACCAACCCGCAATATACGTAGTTTAATAAATATACGGGAAACATCAATTTCTGAGCGAGATACAAAAAAATGAACCCCCCACTCTCAGGCTCAAATTTCATGAAATTTTGATTGGTGCACACCGCATTTTGATATTTTCAACCGTTTAGCCGCTAGAGGGCGATTCTCGATTTTGAGCAATAATGTGAAACCATCATAACTTTTTTGTTTATGAAAATTATTGATTTCCGTAAAAACTTTCTAGAAGCACTTTTTAAGCAGAATTCAGTGACTTTCTCAGTTTTTTTCTAGTTGGTCCCAACTCCGAGATATTGACCAAAGTCTGGTTTTTTTCAATAGGACACCCTATATATTAACTGCTCATTAGAAAGCTCTGCTTTTTCTAATTTCAATGATATAAAGTTCGATAGGTTTATCTCTAACAGTTTTCGAGAAAAAAAAAATCGTTTTTTGTCATAAGAAGCAATGTGCAAGAAAAGGACTTTATATCTGTAAGGAAACTGAGAAAGGTGTCTTTCCAACACATTGTTTCTTATGACAAAAACCGAAATAAATTTTTCTCGAAAACTATTAGAGATAAACCTATCGAACTTTATATCATTGAAATCAGAAAAGGCAGAGCTTTCTAATGAGCTATTAATGGGGTGTCCTATTGAAAAAAACCAGACTTTGGTCAATATCTCGAAGTTGGGACCAACCAGAAAAAAACTGAGAACTTCACTGAATTCTGCTTAGAAAAGTGCTTCCAGAAAGTTTTTACGGAAATCAATTTTTTCCATAAACAAAAAATTTATGAAGGTTTCAGATTATTGCTCAAAATCGAGAAGCGCCCTCTAGCGTCTGAACGGGTGAAGATAACAAAATGCGGTTTGCACCAATCAAAATTTCATGAAATTTGAGCCTCAGAGTGGGGGGTTCATTTTTTTGTATCTCGCTCAGAAATTGATGTTTCCTATTAAAAGTGTCCAAATTGGCCCACCCTGTACATCAAAAATAGTTGAGGACAGATTAAAGCATATATTATATTATTAAATATTAATTTGAGTCCGAATCTTTGAGTCCTCCTTAGGGTGCGTACAGACCGGGCCAACGAATGAGATTCGGCGTCCATATTGCATTCGCTGTCTGAGCCAACGTTCAATGGACACGAAACCCCAAAAATTGATGCGCGAATAGATGACGAAGTTATTATTGCTTGTGCTGCATTTATAATAGGCCCCTTGCATCAAATTTTTTTATTGCTGAGTTCGATAGTCCATGAAAAATAAGTCAACACGTATTTTTTCTTTTTCTTCTCAGTCAAAAATTGACGGAGATACAACGCTATGAAATATGCCTATGACGTCACTTATCATATAAATTAGTGACGTCGCACATGCTTAGTATATCTATATACAGTGTCATTACTTAAGTGTGCAACATATGGGATTTTTTTTTAGTAATAGCACAATCAAAATACAAACAAGGCCAAAAGTTGGCGCATGTCTAATAATCATATTAGGTGTACTTACCTTGCGTTCGGTATTTTGCTCAAAGTGTAGAGCGAGCTGAGCGGAGCCGTAATCACGTGACCAGCGAGCGAACGGAGCAGTTGAACGCTGTATAAAAGTACCGGAAATTTTAATTAACGAACGCGAATGAGGCTGCACCGAGTACACGTTTTAAATAAACGAACGGTAAAGTCAAGCTCGGAGAACTCAGACCAAAATAACGAACGCACGGTTAGAATGGTTGCAAGTCAAACAGCATACAGGGTAGCTCAAAAAATATCAAAATTGTAGTAATATTTACTAGAATAATATAAAAGTTTTGCACTTTGGGGAGAGTTTTTTTAATATGGCTTTTATCATTAGTAATGTTTTAACTTGTTAAAAAAAAAATTGCGACATTTTAAAGTTGTGTTGAATATCATTGCAACAAACATGAATTTTGTCATTCCATAAAAAATTAAAAATCTAAGTTAATTTTACAGATATGCTTGAATTTGAACAAAGTTATGAAAAATTGATTTGATTTTAATTAATTTTTGAAAGTATTAAGGGCGGAAATAAAAAATAAAAAAAATATAGAAATTATAGATTTTTTTCGAAAAAAAATCAAAAAAATCTTAGGAGGCTATGTCTTGGTACTTAGGCATAACTTTTAATTCCAAACAACTTTTCTCTATAATATTTTGCTGAATTTTCTAAAATAAGGGTACTTTACAGTACAGCTTTGATATTGTTTGAGCTACCCTGTATGCTGTTCGACTTGCAACCATTCTAAGTGCACCTAATATGATTTTCAGACATGCACCAACTTTAGGCCTTGTTTGTATTTGGGCTGTGCTATTACTAAAAAAAATCCCCATATGTTGCACACTTAAAAAAATCACACTGTATGTACATATACAAAACTTAATATTTGTATAACTTCCGGAATAATCATATTTGGGCGAGATTTAAAAAAAAAGCTCGAAAAAAAGTAACAATTTTTTTTCGATTTCCTACAGTTTGCAATAAACAATAATCAATTAAATTTTCCATGCAAGTACCCTATTCTTAATGAAGAAGAAGAAGAGAAAAAAACAAAACCAAAAAGCGCAAAGAAACGTTAAAGAATTTTGTTAGAATGTCTGCAAAATAATTCGAGTGGTTGTTAAATGCTGTTGGACCTGAAATAAGTGAAGAAATACGAATTATCATCGCTCGTTCGTTTGTTAGCTGAGCCGTGCACACCGCATCCACCGATTCCCTGTATTTCTTTTGATGTTACCGACACTCTACGGGTCGCGAGTGAACGCCAGCAAATCTTCGTTGGTCTTTGCTAAACCGTCCAGATTGGACAAAAATTCTTCGAACGAACTCATTCGTTGGCCCGGTCTGTACGCACCTTTAGAATATTAAAAAGTAAAAGGCGAATCTATATTTTTGTCATTGATATGGGGGTGTTACTTATCCTCACCAACAGTTGTTCACATTTACTGATGGTAATTATAGTTCAATTCAATGGATCTAAGATTCTGGATGATTCAGTTTTTTTGGTAACAAATAAATGATTGTCAATTTTTATTGATTGATGAAGTAAAATTATGTTGACAAAGGCTTAAGAGTTATACTGAGAAATAAAGATATGTAGTTGAATAATGCAAATATATATTTGCTATATTTATGCAAACATGCCTAAGATATTTTGTTTTTAGGTAGCAGCATGGTATTTACCATGATATGGCTTTGGAACCCCAATGTAATGTCCATTGTAGGCTTTATGGGTATAATTGCAACTCTGCTGGATTTCTTTCTGATTCCGCTACAGTCGTTCCTATTCAAGCGTCAAATGTGGACTGAGGAAAAACAAAAGGAATACCAGAGCATTTGCACCAACGTGATTTTCTATAAAGTCAATGCCGAACAGTTTATGACTTCTTATTATAAAATGAGAGTTACTAAACCAAAAATGGTAATTATAAATTTTTGGTATAACTTACATGTAGTTTTAACACTATTTATCAGTGAAGTCTTCAACATCTCTTATCACCTGCTGAAACATATTTCACCATTATTTTCTGTCTTTTCCACTTCTTCAAACCAGCCACGTCAACCCACCTAAGTTTTAGCATGTCCTTTCTTACTAAGTCGGTATTTATGAGATTTATGCGAGTAATTATGTTTTTAGCTCTGGCTAGGTAGTGTAGTGGGTATATTTTTAAACCAATTACAATATCTCTTCCATTGTTTCTATCTCCATAAAGATTATAGAATTCAAAGTCGTCGGGGAAGTCATATTATAATTCACTCTCCATTGTAGAGAATTGTGAAACTATTTAAACTACAATTCTTCACCTAATCATCTGATGTAAGTCTATTAATATCACAAAAATTAGCGATTTGGATTTTAGATAAATTTATTTTGGGAATTTCAATTAATTAGGTGATGATTGTGTTATAATGGAATATAATAATATGTACCTACATAATATTGTAGATTATCTGCTATAATTTTGTGATACATACTAAAAAAATACTTTTTTATGCAACAACAAACACACACTCAAAATATATCAAGTTAGGTTTTAATCTCGATTTAAATCAAGGGTGTGAGATGAAATTTGCAGGGTAGTTAGAGAATCAATAAAATGTAGTAAATTGGACACATTTCTGAAAATGTGTAGCTATACAGTTTTAATGTTAGGCGAATTGACAACACAGTAAATTCCTTCGCTGAACAACCTCTCGTGCGTCAGACAATATGTGATTCAATTTTTTTTTAAAAGCTGTAACCTCCTGTATGTTTAACTTCTAGTACTTCACCATCACAATACTTGTTCTCTCCATCTTGACCTGGCTTGGCGGAACTGTGGACAACATTTTTCTCACCTACATGGTCATCACATTTTTCCTAATGATGCCAGGCATCCAGCGTCAGGGATGGTTTGCTCCCATCGTCAAACTGTTTTCGACATGTGGAATTGGAATGCGGTTTAAGGTAGAGGAAGATTAAAGCTTCATTTATTTAGGGTTAGTGATTGGTTTTTAGTAGTAACCAATATATATTTGATAGGAGCTGTTCAGTTGTCACTGTGCTTGACAAGGGAATAAAAGTCAAAATGCTAGTTTTGTATTCAGCGTAATGTATATTACTAGCTGCCTAGTAAGTATTTTGACTTTTATGCCCTGAAAATATATATTTGTTTCATTTTTTTTAATTTTAAAGTGTATGTACCTATAAATTTAAGGAATTCCTCAGCAGTGATATTGATTTGTCCTTTCAGTTTAATATGGAATTTGTTAAAAATATTTTTTTTTTTAGCATCTCAATTTTGGCTTGCTCCCATTGTGAAACATTTCTTCCAGGTTTTCAATAAGTAGATTGAAATACGAAATTAAAGTTGGAGCGAAAGAAAGATTGAGGTTGCTATTATTTAACTTAGTGATTGGTGTTTAGTAGTAACCAATATGAATTTGTTTTTTTTTTTTATTTCGTTCGTTTTTACGTTTGTTTTAATATTTAGTCCCTTTATACACCGCTGCAACACGACTGCAATTCAATTAGTTAAATTGCAACTGTAATCAAAGTTGTGTTGTTCTAACATTTGTTTATTGAAGCAACCTGATTATCAGTTGATGTATGTAATAAACAAAAAAAAAACATCAAAAGTAAATAATGGGTTCACCACTTAAAAACGAAATGTTTTTTTAATGGTAGGATAGCAAATAGATGATCGCAGGTTTGAAGTTTTCTATACAGTGTCAAAAATATTGTTTTCATTTTGTTAAATGTCTAAACCATGCTTCTTTCTGCAATGTCCTTCCAGTAATCATTTTAATTATAATTATAATAACATTCATGTTGTCCAATTGCCTGAACTAGCTTCAAGCAGAAGTCATGCTCTGTAGCATGCCATACCAATACCACAAATACGATTCAGAAGCAGAAGCAACTTCAGTCGCAGTCACATTGTAGAGGTGAATGAAGGGCCATAATGTGCTTATTATTAATTTAAAGAATTCGTGAGTGATATTGATTTGTTATAGACTGAAATCTATAATTTAGTTTTGTACAGAATTTCCTAAAAATAAATAGGTTTTTATTTTTTATGTAATCTTAGTTTCATTTCTTGAAGTGGGCCCAAATCCTCAAGCTGGGAATGAAGTTTATTGTATGCATATTTCTGTTGGTGAGCGACATTCAGACGTTCATGAACATGAGTTGCGAGGAATAAACGAATCTGCTAATATAAGAGTGCTGGAATAACAAAAATTAGTTATAATTATAACGCACAACAATGTAGTGGTCTTGTGCTTTATTCAAATATTCCTTTGTTGTCATAGAAATACATAATTTGTTGACAAAGCAGAAACTAAATACACTATTAATGAAAAAGTCATGTCAATGCTCCAACAGAGGAGCACAAAAATTCTGCCGCAGTCACACAAGGTGCTAATTAAATACAATAGAGGAAAAATACGAAATTATTCAAACCCTACAAGTAAGTTGAAAAAAAAAAACATATCACAATAACCTCGACCGCAACAGGGGAATACAGTACAAAAGATCTGCTAACAAAATGCATTAAATAAAAAATATGAAATTAATCAAGCATTTTACTTGAAAACTTTCGTTAGCGAGCCTGTAAGAAACTTTGTATTTTAACAAACTCTTTACAGCTGCATGAAACATACCCTTAGTTGCACAACTCCTAATTTCTATAGGCAATAAATGATTTAACATTAGGTCTGTTCGCACAGAAATCACAACTGGCTAGTTTGTAATTTCTATGCGAACAGACCTATTGTTTTGGTTTCATAAATCAGTAGAGAGCTCTTGGTAAGGGCACTCTATGGGATTTGCAAGGGCAAATTATTGTTCGGGCTTCAAATCTCAGAATAATTTAGTGTATGGAGTTGGGTGGTTACCAAGTGATCATTAAGACAAAATCTCCACTTAAAAAATATTTGAAATTTCATCATTTTGGTACTAAGGGGTTGTTTGATTTGAATTTTTCGAAACTTTTAAAAATCAAATTCTATTATAGTTAGAGAGCTGAAATTTTTAGCGATTACTTATCCTTGTGGAGGACAACAATCGCGGAGTTACAACGCATTTGGACTTATAGTTCTAGAGATCGCGTTAAGGAGCAATGTGATGTGAATTTTTCAATTGTTCATTTTCCTGACGTCCTATTTTCATAGATTTTGGCTTCAAATCTGACAATAAATACTTTGTCTTGTTTGAGGTAGGGATGTGCGATGTTCATCGATTAATAAAAAACATCGATGTTCAATACCCGATGTTTCGACATCGATGTTAAAATTTCAAAACATCGATGTTATCATCGATGTTGGTTGTAAAAATCGACAATAGGAAAAGGTTAAAGATAATTTACTTGCACTAGTTCTGTAAATGGAAATCGCTATAATATGCAGCATTCATAGCATTAGATCTGTAAAAATAAATCGCTACAAGCAAGATCCTAATTTATATTCGAATTTCCATCCTCTACAAACGCATGACGGTGAAATAAAGACAGATGTATTAAATCATTTATCGCACTAGCACCAGCAATATAAAACCAAAAAGTTGATTTAAGATACGGTCCCCTTTCTTGAAACAGGGGCGCAGTGTTGGGAGGACGAGTGTCCTGTCTTTCTCAATGATATGCAAATGATAATATAGGTAACAAAGACGGAACACTCGTTCTTCTGGAAACGCTGCATCCCTGTTTCAAGAATGATTTGATTGTAGGAAACGGGAAACGTGAAGTGATTGTTATTATTAACAACAATAAATTATTTCTTCCATTTTATTATTAACAGTTCTGTAAAAAATGAAATTTTCCATATGTTTACTTTATGTTACCCTCTAGAGGTGGGAAACTATCGATAGTAATTATCGATATATCGATACTTTGCTACACTATCGAACTATCGATAATTCTACTTGGACTATCGATAGCAGTTCTCCTGTCTTTTCTTATGTCAGCAATGTCAAGTGTCAAGACATATCATAAAGTCTGTTTTTTTTTAAAGATAATTCCCCAGTCAAAAATTTAGTAACTGTTGGCAACACAAGCCTTTTCTACATGAAAAATTTGAAAGCATTGACAATTTTACATTGTATTGCCAACATAATAGAGAGTTATTGGACGTGCAATAAGGACAAGCAGTATTTAAATTAGCCTTATTTTGACATCTACGCATGCGCATTTGGGTCTGAAAATAAGGATTTCCTTAATAAGGTTACTGCTTGTCTTTATTTGTGTATGGTTAGTGCGAGGCAGTAAAATTCCCTTATTTCAAATTTCTGACATTTTGGACGACTTTGACGTTTCGCTTTTCGACGGTGACCTAATTTTACTTGGAAAATTTATTTTTTACAGTAGTTTTCCATTTTACTGTGGGTAGCATCGAAAAATGAGTATCGGCAGAAAATCACAAACAAAAATAAACACTTTTTTAGGTTGAAATTTATAAACATAGCTATCAGCTGTCAAAATTATGAATACAAAATAAGGTAATACTCTAGCACCTACTACAGTCTTCCAATAACTGTTTTTTTCTTGGAAAAATAGTGCTGATGCACTAATAAAATAACGTAGATCCTTAATACTGCGAGGCAGTATTTATTAGTTCCAATAACTCTCTAATGTCACTTTGACTTTTATCTTTAAACAAAAAACACACTTTACATTTCATCTTTTATTAAGGCTAACGGCGTTTTCTCGCGTCTCAAATGTTTCAAAACTGGTTTAAGTAATGTCACCATGACGTCATAATTTCTCGGCGCGAGAAAATGGTTTGAAAACGTGGATTGGATTGTATTTCGAAACGGTTTAAACCAGTTTTGACATGATGTCATGGTTTTATCGCGAGAATGTACTGTTTCAAAACAGTTTTGAATCTTGAAACTGGTTCAAAGTGGACGCCAGAAAACGCCTTAAGGCTCGCTTTCCTCGGACGCGGGACGGAGACGGAACGCAAGCGTGACGGAGTCAAAGCGCTTCCCCGGCGTATCGCGCTAGGGAGGTAGTGCTTTCCTCGAAGGCGTAGCGACGTCGGCGATTCTGCAATCCGTGTGTGAAAATGGATTCCGAAGATTTATTATTTTTTATTCTAATAGACGAGATTGATGAAGAGCTTTTCCTCGCTTGTTTTCTGTAGGAATCTCTGATGGTTTTCCATCTGGTTTTGCATTCACCAACTTTAACAAAAAAAATTTGAGGTGTTACAAGCAACAACACACACGTACCATCAGTAATGCAAATAAAATAATTCAAGCGAAAGATCCGAAACAAAAAATCCAAAAAAATAATAGCGTCTATCTGCAACTGGCCATAAATTATCTTCTACTTACCAGGTTTTTGAAGGGCATCACTAATTGCTTTCCAAGCATTTTCTTTAATTGTGTTGTTGAAATAATTTTTGTGCTTTAAATTGTACAGTACAGGATACTGCCTCACTAGGTCGATCAATAATTCACTTTTCTCTTCTGTGAAATTCGACATTTTTACACAGATTTTTATTTATAAATATTATTCCGTCGGTGTTGCGCCCCGTCGAAGTTGCCTCTCGACCGACCAGTGGCGTGATTCCGCTAGCGTCAAAAAAACTGCGCTCCGCCGCCGTCGCGCCTCCGCTGCTTAGGAAATCACATCTTTATATTTTAATGAGGGCAACGTCTGCGGCACCCGTTCCGTCTCCGTCCCGCTTCCGAGGAAAGCAAGCCTTTAAGGCTCCTAAAATTGATAGGTTGTCTGAATGAGTAACTTGATGACGTTATCTGGTCCGGGGTGCCTTATGGAGATTTGGATTATGTTTAGGCATCCCAGATGACGCCACAATAGTTATCAGGCAACCTATCATCTCTCAAACAACCTTGATGTTTTTTATTTTGGTTTTGATGGTATGGTAGTTGAAATCAAAATTAAAAAAGAAGATTAGTTATGATTCCTGTTATCATCAGTTAACAACAACAACCTACACAACTCAACTACACTGTATTTCAGTTCATTAGTGGTGTTTATTTCTTTCTTTACTACTTACCAGTTTAAAGAAAAAAGAACATGTGTGTAATAAAACATTATTATTCACAATAGGTTTGTTCGGACTTAGTTCAGAATCAGTTCTGAATTGAGCTGCGCATGCGCGTTTTATTTATTTATGCTCGATAAGAATAAATGCGCAAGCGCAGTTCAATTCAGAACTGATTCTGAACTAATTCCGAACAAACAACAAGCCTATTATTAACTTTCATTTGAGTATTTTTTTCTCTAGGTCTCGTTGTGTTTGTATTGTAGGGCGTAGGCCGTAGTGGTAGGGCGTAAGCCGTAGGGGTAGGGCCACGTAGGGCCTTCATCTCAGACCTTCATCTGGACACTGCAGTTGGAGATCATTAACATTAAAATTTTGGCTTGCCTGATCTACTAATTGCTGAAACCCCAAATACAAAATGGGTCAAAAACGTAAACCCTTTTTTATATCCATAGATATATCGATACATCGATAGTTTTTATTCGATACTATCGATATATCGATAGTAAGATTCTTCGATAGTTTCCCACCTCTATTACCCTCAAAACATCGATGTTTGTAAAATATCGATGTTTTCACTTCGATACATCGGTTGCATCGATGTTGAAGTATCGATGTTGAAGTATCGATGTTCAACATCGATATCTGTGCTCGATGTCGCATCCCTAGTTTGAGGGGGCTCAAGCTCAAATGATCTTAGATCTCAACTCAACGTAGAAAAAAAAATTAAATTTCATCATTTTAGTACTAATGTTACTAAAGCACAACAAAAATTAATTTAAATTTTCAGTAATAAAGTTGACTTTGATGAATAAATATGAAAATACATCTTTAAAATCAAGTAGATAAAAGGATTAGTTTGGAAAATTGAAAACCTAAATTTAAGAAATAAGTTGATCTAGTTCGAACTCTTGCTCTGTTTTTGAGGCCGATGTGTGATGTGTCTTGCTTGCTTCGTACAGACTTGAATATTACGCCGAATGTCGCCGAAAAACGAACATAACAACGAACCGAACGACGAGCGATTCAAGCGGAACAATTTGTATTCCTTTCATACCTAGCTCCGGAACAGCTCCGGGTCGTTACGCGTTAAAAAAGTGTGCTCAATCCCGAACTCAAACCCTTATGCATGAAAAGGCGGTTACACACGGACGTGGATGTCTGAAAACATGTACGTACATACATGAACGCGCAAACAAAAACATCAATGTGTATGCAAAATACCGTTGCGTTTTTGTATGTGCAATCGCTAGAAATTTTGTATGCACACTCGGAACACTGTAGCCAGAATAGCAAAACTACAGTTTTGATAGTTTTGTGCGAGCGTCTGTACAAAGGCGTCATGCACGTTTTTGTTTGCACGTTGATGTATGCACGTATATGTATCAAGCTATCCACGCGCCGTGTGTAACCGCCTAAAGCCAGCGCATCTGTTCCGTTCAAATCGGGGTCGACTAACTCCGGAGCGAGTAGCTCTAGTATTCTGAACTCTTGAAAGAAATACAACTAATGTGGACGACAGGGCTACGACCGCGTTTGAAAACCGGTTCGCAAATTCAGGCCGTTTCGTAGACGTAGCCCCGTCCACATTAGTGTTTCGTTCGTCGTTCGGTTCGTTGTTTTATTTGTTGTTCGGCGTAATGTTCAGGTCTGTACGAAGCTTCAAATTCGATCAACTAGGCCATCCCATTTTTCTGTTTATTTTCGTTGTTATAGGATTGTTGGTACTGGGAGTTTTTGGGGGCACCCAGAACTGGGGCAAGGAGCACCGCAACCGAGGGCAAATAGGAACGCACGGAAAGCACCTACGTGTACAGTGCGACAAGTGACAAACGACAATTTTCTAGGTTTTGACATAAACGCCGGTTTTGTTGTCATAAAATTTTTCTTTCAAAGATTTTGAATTACGAAAACTTGAAATTTGAAATGGAGAAAAAACGGCTTGAACTTTAATTTATTACAAAAATACAGATAATGTCGGATAAACATTACATTGCACCAATATTTATTGAAAAGTTAGGTAAGTCTTAACATTTTCTATAAAATTACTGCAATAATACTGATTTATTTATCTAAATTAGAACATAAAATACCAGAAGTGAGGGAAAGAGCCCTATCGTCTATAATCTCAAAGCTAGACTATGGATTTACATTTGAAAATGAACTGCTCAGTTATAGAGAGCTTCTGGCAAAGTTATTTAATTGGTTCCTACTCGAGCCCTGCAGTAATGAGGAAAATGTTATTGCTCTCATCAAAAGGATTTTACAAGTAAGCCTTTCTCAGATGAAATTGAAATTTATAATGAATTACCGCCTTCTACAAAGTAAATGCAGTTTATTTTTCCTGAATTTCTATCGCACAACTACCTTGTCCTCAGAATTGTACTTGCTTTAATTGGCAAAAGTTTGAACAACGTTTTTTAATTTGGAATTTTCCGAGGAATTTTCTATCCTGAACACTTTGATCGAGGGGTCAACCACTTCCCGAAATACGTGTACACTTGGCCCGAATTACCTCCGAAATACTTCGAAGTACCTAGAAATACCTTGGAAGTACCTCGAAATACCTGGTATTCCCGTCGAATTACGCGAAATCCCATGGAATTACCGTCGAAATACCCACGAATTCTCATGCGAAGTCCCGCAATACTTTTAAAAAATGTATTGTTGAATTCGTTGATAACGATTCTTCTTGCGGATCGCAGTGAAAAATTTTTGCTTGGATTTTTGTGTCTTTTGATATGATGAATTTTATTCGGACACACAAACAACAATTAAATGAATAGTTAGTGATGCAAGTGACTGTTAGTTCTAAATGCTGTTAGGTACAGGGTCATCCAACGAGGACTGAACAGGGGCAATTTTTGACTTGCCTTATATTTTTTAGAAAATCCAAAATAGTCAATTGAAATATTTTTTTTCTGGAGAATCCAAAAATGGTACCAAAAATCGTTTGAACCAAAAACCAAAGAGTTAGCCATGGGTGAACTGTTTCATTTTAGCTATACCTGTTAGATTTAATTGGTTCATAGGTGATAAAGGTATAATCTTTGTATTTTGTTGCCATTTATTAAACAGGTAAAGCAAAAATTAAAAAGAATAAAACATTAAAATAAAATAAAAACAGCTATCGGAATATCAAATATTTTCAACAGAATAGATGTAAGAAAATGTGGCTTCCCAAAAATCATACAAAAAACAGGGTGTTCCATTTAAAAAACAGCTCATCCATGGCGTAACTCTTTGGTTTTTGCTTCAAATGATTTTTTGGTACCATTTTTGAGTTCTCCAGAGAAAAAAATTCCAATTGGCTATTTTGAATTTTCTCAAAAATACAGGGAAAGTCAAAAATAATCCCCTGTTCAGTCACTGTTGGATGACCCTATACTATATTAACTAACTGACATTGATTCCTTAAACATATCAGGTATTCTTTCCATTTGTTTCAATTAATCTTCAGTAAATCCAAATTATGTCAACATATTTAGCCTGTTCGAAGATGGACTAATTTTCATTCTATGATAGTCCAATTTTAAGTGATAAAGAATTAATTGTTCTCAGTAAATAAAAAAAAACTACTTTTAAATAGTTCGAAATACCTCGACTTACCACGAAATACTTCGAATTACCTTCAAATACTTCGAATTACCTTCAAATACTTCGAATTACCTTCAAATACTTCGAATTACCTTCAAATACTTCGAAGTACTTGGCAATACCACAAAAAACTAGGTTCGAATTACCACCACCGAAATACTTTGAATTTCACGAAATACTTGCGAAATACCGTAATTTTTGCAATACGTGTACACATTTTTACAGAGTGGTTGACCCCTCGACTTTGATGAAACAAAATAACAAAAAATATTACCTAAATTCTTATATTAGGTATTTTGGGGTAGCAACAGGTACTTTGTGTTATGCAGATCTCTACCATGTATAAACTTGAATACGAGTTAAGTTATATTTGCCAAAATACCTATTACCGAGCCTATTACATTATTGGCTGCATGGGCTCATGCCAAATAATTATGATTACCTTTCACAATGTTCAGTTTATATTATAAGTAATTCGTAATGCCTAATTGTGTTTGAACTGTTTCCCTTAGAGTTTTAGTCAGCTCGTCTTTTCGACTCATTTATTTTTCCAAATTTAACTGCGCCGCGTAGGTATAATTTCGGGTATAATTCTGACATCTCAGGAAAAGGAAAAATAGACCACGCTTACAAGTTACTAGATATATAGCCCTACACGTTTTGTAGTTACCAAAAGGGAAAATCATATTGGCACACTGTGAACATGCCATGAAATTGGAAATTGATAAAATTAAATCGTACATTCATCCTAAATTTCATGAAAAATTAGATGACATATTTGATACAAAAACCCAAGAAACTTCTGAAATTGATGTTGTACCATCAGCAAGTCATGAGCACTCTTCAAGTCGTAGCAGTATTTCTGATGTGCAACCACCATCTAGTCATGAGCATTCTTTGAGTCGTAGCAGTATTTCTGATGTGCGACCATCATCAAGTCATGAGCATTTTTTGGGTCATAGCAGTATTTCTGATGCGCGACAACCATCAACTCATGAGCATTCTTTGAGTGGTAGACGACAACCATTAACTCATGACCATTCTTCGAGCGGTAGCAGTATTTCCGTTGGGCGACAACCATCAACTCATGAGCATTCTTTGAGTGGTAGGCGACAACCATCAACTCATGACCATTCTTCGAGCGGTAGCAGTATTTCCGTTGGGCGACAACCATCAACTCATGAGCATTCTTTGAGTGGTAGGCGACAACCATCAACTCATGACCATTCTTTGAGTGGTAGCAGTATTTCCGATGTGCAATGCTCTTCAGTTAGCACTGGCACTGCTACTGATTTGTTAGTTCGGAAAGGACCTTATTTGTACATTGAACCAACACTTATTCAAGACTTAGGTAAGTAAATTACTGTAACATTTTCTATGAATTATTTCAGGTGTGAAGGCTCATTGCTCATTTATGTATTTCTTTCAGAACATAAACTACCAGAAATAAGAGAAAGATCTCTATATTCTATAATAGCTAGAATTGAGTGTGGATTTACATTTGAAGATGAATTGCCATGTTATAGAAAACTTCTTACCAATTTATTTAATTTGTTCATTACTGAGGCCGGTCGATTTGAAGAAGATATCATTGGCCTTATCAGAAGTATTCTCCAAGTAAGGCCACTTCAAATTGAAAATAATATCGTTAAATTAATTTTCTTGTAGTCACAGGCGGGAAAAACCTTAATGGCCCATTATATGCCTGAAATTCAACAGGATCTTAATCGAATTGAACCATGTATAGACCCCAAATTTCATGCAGAATTGAATGATACATTATGTTCGGAAGCTTCTAAAATGAATATCATTATTTGTGCTAGTCAACCTTCTACTGGTGGCACTACTGCTAGCCATGCTACTCGACGTAACACTGGGAGCTGTGCTACTGCTTCAACTAGTGGTAGTGAGAGATCGATTCCGCAAAGAACTTCTGTGGAAAGCCAAGCCAGGTAAAATTAATCTATAATGCAAAATTATAAATAAAAAAAATAAAAATAAAACGGGTTTCTCTTGTGGGATGGACCTTACCCGCTGTCAGAGCTTTTTTACTCTTCTCAAGTAATTGAATAACAATTACCGTTTACTCTGGCATAAAAAAATTAATTACAATTACCAAAACCCTATAGACTGTCAAAAGGTAGTTCAATTACCAATTACAATTACCAATTACGGTTGAAAGTAATTGATTATGAGTTTGCAATTACTTTATTTGAATTACTTATTTATTCGAATTAGTCCTTGAGTAATTGTCAATTGAATTAGTTTTCAGTAATTGAATTACTCATGAACACTGATGTAAAATGACGGTCATTTAAAATCGTGACAGTCATTTGCGTCATGACATGTCATGACTGTCATGATCATGGTCATAGTTCATAGTAATTATTTCAATTTAGAACGCCACTACCCACAGTCTATGGTCTTTAAACTCACAAATGGGTTTAAAATAGGGACAGTCAATTATTGATTGAGTTTTGACAAATAATTGAGGATTTCAGAACAGAAGAAATTTCAACAAATAACAAATAAAATAACAAAAATGATAGCTTTTCACCTAACAAATGCAGTAAGTGATACTTCACTGCATTCAAAATTATACCTATGAGCATCTATCTCCAAAAAAAGGCATTCTTGAAATTTCTGAACGAGAAGGGATTTTTGAGAGTACCTGAATACCGAATCTACTTTACCGCATACTATGCAGTCTACTTTACTACTGCACTTTTACACACTATGCAGTAAAACGGACATGACTAACGGTCACATTGAATGTGACGTGACGGTCATGACCCGCCGTCATGCGCGCTGGTCATGACTCACTAACATCACTGCTCATGAAGTAGTTAAATTATTCAAAATTTATAGTTAAATAACTTTTTTCAATATTTCAATATCTTTTCTAGAGTAAATGAATAAGTAACGTTATGGAAAATAAACATATTTCCATTTGTAACATTATTTATTGAAAAATATTTCTTTTAAAATTATTATGTCAACTGTTTATTTTCTCAGCATGGACTTATGGCTAGAGTACTGTATTTAAGAGAGATAGGTTGATATATTTACTTCTCGATTTACTTCATTCGATATTTTTCAGGAAAAATGTGATGTATGGATAGGTATGATAGGTCATTGTTTTCTTGGACAATAAAGCATATCTATTATTTACTACTATTTTAAGGAACTAAATAGGCTCAGAAAAAAAGGTATGCTTTCGATGGCAGACCACCAAAGGGCGAAAAAAGACAACAGCTGCTAGTGGTTCTCACTCAAACCAGATCTAATGCCGCGGAAGCTGTTATTTAGTAGACTGCATACTACAGAGCAGTGTGTGATAGATTTTGAAATTTCAATTACTTTTGAGTAGTTCAATGCATAAAAGTATTTCAATTACCCTTAAAATAATTAAATTATTTATTTTTTACTCTAAAAGTAATTGAATTACCTGAAAATTGTTAAAATCAATTACCCATTATGATTATTTCTTCTCAGTAAATTAAAAATCCATTACAATTACTATTTTTCTTTTCTGTAAATAAATTGAAGTATGTAATTCAATTGCAAAAAGTATCTAATTAAAAACAATTTTTCAATTATTTTAATTCAATTACTGACAGCTCTGCCCGCTGTCTTATCTATAAAAATTTTTTTTTTTATAGTTTGCCTCAAACGAGGCCTCAAACCTCAGAACAAGGAAGTTTCAAATCTGACAATAATTATACCTCAACATGCAGCGCTGATCTTAGGAGGTATATTTTGGAGTGGCAACCACTTATTAAATCAGATGGAGCTATGCTTAAAGCAGTCGAACAATCTCTGAAGGACCCAGAACATGTTTCTGAGCGATTCAATTCCTGTGCATTTTTTACAAATGTTTTATTATATGATTTTCCCACTGAAGTATTTATTCAAAGACCAGGCATTATCACTGTAAGTAACTTTGTTGTATTAGATTTTTTTTCTATGATATAGTGTTGACCAATAAAGACTGACGTATGCCTCATGAATGCAGTGTCACATTCTTGCTTTGACCCTAAGAAACTGTACATTTCCAATGATTAACCCTTGGAATGGTTGTATGTGTTAAATTGCAGGCAACTTCCTTATTGTTTAATTATGTAGGTGCAAAAACTTTTTCAATTAAAAATTGAAAACCACGTGATACAACGCCTTTTATTGTTAGCTTCTATTTCTAGTGATATACAAGTGCATATATTCACTTTCTGGATATTTCCTGTTTAAATTAAAATTATTGATAAATCGAAAGAAAACTTGTACGTTTTTCATGCAAGTTTATTTTCTCCTTTCAATTGGAATAGCAAAGCTTTTTCAGTCATCATCATTGCTAAGGTATACAAGAAAATTGCATAGAAAATGTCAACATTGGTCGTACAGACAGATACCTAATAATAAAGTCAAAAAACCATTTCTCTCACAGATATGTGTAAAGCATAAATAAAGACAATTGAAAGACCACAAATTGTTGTGTTATTATTGAATGGTTCTTGAGAACCTCAGGTTTGGATGGCTTAAAACATTTTTAATTTTTTCCCTGTGCTGTGGATACAGTGGTTAACCAAGCAGAGGAAAATGAGGAATTTTTTTCAAATAATTGAACCATTTGAGATGTCCAACAACTATCGAATAATCCTGATAGTGTACCTTGTGATTGTCTTTTTAATTTGATGACTTCAATATTAGCCTCTTCTATGGGCTTTTCTTGTATACCTGGAAAGCAGATTGGTTTAGGCCAATGTTGCACACTTCAGTTATTATATTATAGTTTGAATTTGGAATACAAATGTTGGGTTTCTCTACGGATATTGTAAGCACTTTTTCAAACAACTAGTTACTGATTTCATCAAAGTGTCTCATTTGTAAATTACAAATTGAAGCTTCGATTGCTCCCTGCCAATCCACTTCATTGAATTAAACGATTAATAACCAGGTCAAAATCTTTATTACAACCAATTATAGCCAATTCTTAAAAATTGTGTCTTGAATAACGGGAAATTATTGTCATAATTGGGCAGGGTATAATTTAATTTTTGTTCTCAATTAGGAATTTTGAGGTTGTTAATGGTACATATTCCTATATATTCAGTTATTTTTGGTAATGATGAATGGTCGCTAATTTCTTTATTTCAATATTCTGGTAGTGAACCATCAATTAACTGTGATTTCAAAGATCTTTTTTAGACCTAGCACATACTAGTACTAGTGTTAAATCACTGAGGTGCTATTCATTAAATAATTAATTGAAAATTAAATAACCAAATGTAGATTAGTTATAAGGTCAAATTTAGATTAGGTTTAATAATAAATGAAAAATTAAATAAAATTAAATAAGCATAAAATATTGACATACCATGGGGCTGAACTGTTCTTATTATTTCAGTTCTACCAAACCAAAGGGTTGACTGATGTATCTCAATTCTCCAACTTGAGTGGTCTTCAAATGTAGGTGAAATATTAGAAAGATACAAGGGGGGATTTCTTTTATGAAACTTCACCTCTCGCTACACCCACTTATCTTGGTAAGAGATAGAGGTAGAATTGGCTTGTTTTTGGTTTCTGAAGTTAATACCTTTTTACCAAACTTCCTGACTGAACAAATTTTGTTGCATTTATTACTGTATACCTATTTATGTTTTTTTTTTTTAAATATTTTTACAGATTTTCCATGAATTCTTAAGCACTCCTCACTCGTCGAGACTAACTAATACAATACTCCAGTGCTTGTTCGAGTTCACAAAAGCATTAGGAATAAGAATTTATCAATATCATGATATATGTTTGCAGAATTCAAAGACCCAAGTAGGTTACCTCACTACAATATGATGACTATTTTGAAGATTGTGTTAAAATTTGAATGTTTCAGGAATTGTTTAATTTAAGCTCATACGACTGCGATTCTGAAACATCATCCGATAATGGTGGCCTTGGCCATTTTGAGTTGATTCAAGAAACTAACATTTTAAAGAGGAAACAGTTAACCATTCCTGAATATTGTTTCCGAACCATAAATATTATTTTAAAATGCATGGTAACAAAAAAAGAAAGTTTAACTGAACATAAGCCAAAATTAAATCAGACAGGCATCAATCATTGCTTGACGGTCTTGGATGAACTTATAACCATATTATGCAAAACTGTAGGTGCAGATTTATGGAAAGAAGAATTAAATTCAGAAAATTTAGATATTTTTAAAGAAATTAGCAACAGCTCATCATTACTTGGGGATACCATTGAATATTTCCACATAGAATCCACGAGTGTAAAAAGCAACTTAACATGCAGAGCGATTTACCTTTTTCTGACATGTCTAAGTGTCAAATGGTTAATAAATCTTATACCCCCATCAAAAACCAAGCTAATACTTCCCAAAAATTTTAAAGTATGTTTGTGCAATAGACTTTTAGATGTAAGCTTGGGCCGATTGTATCCAAAAATACATAGAAGCTTACTTGGATTTGTAGAGGTAAGAATAATTAAAGATATTAAGCACTTTTTAATACTCTCTTCGACTAGAGTTTTAGTACAGGACCTGAAGTAAACTGTCTCAAAAAATATGAAGACGTCATGAAAGTTTGCAATGGCTTAACATCTTCAGTAAAATTTATCGAAAATTCAGATTCTCTAGTGACAGGGGACAAATTTAAATTGGCTTGTGAGGCTCTGCCTAGTCTGGAGTTCCACCAAAACATGGATTTTATAGCTGGTTATATAGATTTGTGTTCAAAAAAGTTTTTTAAATTTCCATCGAATCATGAACTAAACGGGATGGCAATTGGTATGTATTATTATTGCAAATTAATTGTTAAAAATAAATTGATTTGAATGGCATATTCTAGATACTATACTTTTCCTTCTTGCTCATCGTTTAAATAAAATCAGACAAGAAACATATCGCTTGTGTCATAAAATAGTTGCAAAAACCATAGGCTTTCAGATAAACTTATCTCCAGACACAATATATGGCTCTCAAATAGCTTTTCTCCTTAGTTCTGCAGTTTTAACAGAAATTGCTGTTTTTGGATTAATCAATGTACAGGTAAGAAACTATATTTGCTCATAATTAATCAATATACTAGAAATATTTTCTTTTAAGGTTCAAAAATATGCTGAAGAAATTTTACTTTATATACTGAAATGCAAAATGATTGTTTCTGACCTAACATGGAGCAAATGTCTACAAGCTTTAATACCTTCTTTACCATTGATTATTTGTTATTCAGCTAATGCAACAACTCTGGGAAGGACTATTGTGAATTTTGTCGATCCAGATTCTGCCAGATCTTTGGGAATTTCTTATATAGTCATGCTCAAAGCAAATGTGGAATTATTGTTTTGCAAAGACTCAACTTTAAGGTAAATTATAATTTATCCATAGGCATAGCCCAATTTGGTTGATTACGAGAAAACATAAAATATGCATAATTCTATAACCTAGAACAAAAAAAAAATCTGCATTTGAATACTAATATAAAGGTCGAATAAAATAGCAAAATAATTATCACACACACCAGGAACTGATCTGGATAAACACGATTTCCACCCCACAAGCATTTTTTCCAACTTAGAGTTTAATTTAAGCTAGAATTTGTAGGTCTGAAATAGACAAGTCATCACCATTAGGATTTATTTACCTAATCTAGCAGTCTCGTACAAAGTTTTGACCTGGAGGTGTTTGTCTTTGTTAGAAAGTTTTTTCAAGTAATGACCAACGTAAATTCAGGGACACAGCGGTCCCGTTGTGTCCCTGAATTTACGTTGGTCATTACCTGAAAAAACTTTCCAACAATTTTCTTTGCCAACGAAAGCTCAGGCCAATCAGTGTAGTTCAACGCTGGTAGGGGTATTTGCCCTCGGATTAGTTGTTTCTGATTGGTCAACGAAGTTCAATTTTGCTTGGACAGGGAGCTTCAGCCTATGTCCTTCTGATGAGTCCTAACAAGGACGAAACGCGTCAAGGATTGGCACGGGAAGTCTGGGCCCACTGCTCAGTGGGTCGATTCCGAAACAGGGACCGTTGTGTCCCTGAATTTACGTTGTTCATTATCTGAAAAAACGTTCTAACAATTTTCTTTGCCAACGAAAGCTCAGGCCAATCAGTGTAGTTCAACACCGGTAGGGGTATTTGCCCTCGGAGTAGTTGTTTCTGATTGGTCAACGAAGGTATTTGTCTTTGTTTTATATTGGCAGGAATTAGATAACTCCTACTCCTTCAGCTTTTCAGTTTTGGTAGAGTGCATAAATCTTCCACCTACCCTTGTTTAAAGGGAGAAAGAACCTTCCTTGTAATTATGAACCAATTTCATTGCTGCCTTCTTTGACTAAGATTATTGATACTGATAGGTTGCTCAAGAATAGGATGATACAGTTATTGGATGTCAATAATGTTCTAAATGGATCGCAGTTTGATTTTTGGTCTTCAATGAGTACTACTAATGATGCTATATTCCATTTGCTGGAGAGACCTGAAGCTCAATAGCGAAGAGGCGGCCGCGATGGAGTTTTGTGATCTGGCAAAAGCCTCTGACTGTGTGTCACATGGGATACTCCTATGAAGGCTTGAAGCCTATGATTTTAGGGGATGTATATTGGAGTGGTTTAAATCCTATCTAGCAAACAACCTGTTTCTAGACGAGTTGGGTGTTTCGGCGGTAGTGCCACAGGGATCTGTTTTTGGTCCGCTTCTGTATTGATTTGTGTGAACGACTTGAGAGCGGGTAGTATATCTTTTGCCAACGACACAACTCTTCGTTGGAACAATGACATTGCACAGATTCTCAGTGGTTCAGTTAACCTTGATCTGGATAATATTAGGTCAACTTGTGTGCTGTGTGTCGAATGACATACTCTTGCAAACTGAAACTGTTCAGAACCCAGGTGTAAGTAAATTCCTAGGTTTAAATAGCTTTGTTCGGGCTTGAAATAAGGACGGTTCTAGAACGGCTGAAAACAATCCCACAGTGTATTTTTGAAATTTGTGATAGCCGAGCTAATGTAGATAATAAGTTGAAACTCGACAAGCATATTGAAAAGTTGTCCTCAAAGTTAACAGGAAGTTGTTGTCCATTGAGGATTATAAGCAGTGAACTGAATAAGACCATTTCGAAGAGTGCCTATTTTGCCTTAATTGACTATTACTTTCAGTATGGCGGGAAAACTGCTCAGGATATTTATTTAATTCTGCTTTTTTCCTGTAGAGGCGTGACCTAAGATATTTGTGCAACCTAAATTCAATTCCAACCCTTTTTTTGTTAGGGAAAGAATTTGAACTCTGCCATCAATTTTTATTTTGGAAACTGTTTATATTGTGCTGTGCTTAGAAAGTATTCCTCTGTTATCAACATTCTAGCCTTGGATGCTACACTTTCACACTGATTCAGGAATCCATTTTTTATAGTAGTAATAGATTGATTATTTAATCACCTCCTGCTGAAAATAACGAAAATTTAAAAATACAAGTACCTAAGCTCCGACTAAAACAGATGTTACTGGAAGGGGCTTACTGCAGTGCGGAGGAATAATTTTTAGACAGTTTTGAATTTAATTGATAATCCTTATATTCATAGATGTACATTGTATTTTTAAATTTGTTTGTGATTTGTGCACTATTTTTAGCATTATTGGGTACTTTTATCTGCTTTGTATCCAGGAACGAATTTTCTTTATTACCAGAAAGTCGATTTGATTTAATTGATATTTGTTTTTTTTCTATTTCAGGTATGAAGCATATTCAAGAATATGCTGGTTATTGTTAGCGCAAGAAGATGCTAGAGAAATGTTACCTAAATTTGATACGATTTATAATGAAGAGCTTTCAAACGCCTTCAATATTGAAAAAACTTTGGATGTCAATAAAATGAAGAGATCAGTTCATTTGTATCAAGTAAAACACTCAAATCCTGATTTTTTTATTAGTAAAATTTTCAAATAATGTTACTTTTAGCCTAGTAGCCTCTTGAAAGTCTTAGACGTCTTGAAATCCGAAGATGTAGATCCATCGATCAGGAGATCTGCTTTAAACCAAACCAGTCTTATGGCTGAAGATTATCTACTGCACGATACTTTTCTGGAATTGGGAGGCCTAGACGTAATGATTGAAATTATGGAAAGAGCTTTGACAACTAACGATTCCAGAGATACTCCTGACTCCGTTATTCCCATAGTTTCAACTCTAAGAACTATGGCCCTGTATCATTCTAGTGTTAGGGAATATATTGGACAAAAGTTACATGTTATTTATTTAATTCTAAGAGGTAGGTACCTATGTTTATATTTTGAAGTAAAGTTTCGAATAAAAGAAATTTCAAACAGAGAAATTTATGAAAATGTTCATACAATTACATGATGAAGTCTTGGAAGTGTTGAGAATGTGAGTCAAAAAAGTATCTTCTGTATGGGCGGAACATATTTGTTATGGCTTAGAACAACCCCCAAAAAGGACTTATTTGTGAATTTTTGCGAAAACCGTTGATACACAACTGTTTTCTTTTTTTTTTGTTCTGTCCACATCAGAACTTTTCAATGCTGCTTGCAGTATGCCCTTCAAATGGGGCTCAGCTAATCTTATAACTGCTATGCCATATTCTATTAGGCAAGTTATCAAGATGTCCTTCACTTCAACTGAAGCAACTTTCAAACATATGCTAACACTGTCCACAAACACTGAGAGTGAAACATATTTAATACAGTTTATTTTTAGGTGCTTTTTTATTCATAAATGAGGATAGAATGAAGGAAGATGCTACAGCTCTAGTATTTTTACTGATCTTCAAAGATTACATCATTGGCTCGCCTCTAAGTATGGATTTATCGATTCCTAAAATTGTTGGTGAGACATTATTGGTGCCGTTTATTTGTAAAAGACACATGATTGATAGTAAACACACGAGTGAGGATCTTTTTTGTAAGTAGGAATTTTTTTAACAGGAATGTGAGTCGCAATTGAACGTAAATAAGAAATATATTTTGTAATTTTATCGGTACGAAATAGGATCAAATTATAACATAATCTCTCAACATAATCCCTAGTTTCGAACACACATTTGTCCCATATGTCTGGGTCCTTATTCTTGAAACAGGGCAGCAGCGTTCCCAGGAGAACGAGTGTTCCGCCTTTGTTACTTATATTATCATTTGCATATCATTGACAAAGACGGAACACTGGTTCTCCTGGGAGCGCTGCTCCCCTCAAGAATAAGGACTCTGAAAGGTTTTGCAATACATGCAATTCATTTACCGGTCCCAAAAAGGAAGGCAAATGCAAAAATACAAATCGGCGCAAAACAAATGAGTCGAAAAGTCGTTTTCCACTCAGGCGCCGTTCTGCCGCTTTACTATAACAAGGAAAACTCCTAAATATAAATACTCGGTGCTCTACAAGGCCATCAGGATGATTCCATTCTCCAGTATGTCACGAACCACATGAATATTATTTATAGACTTAATGCCCCCTTTTTGAGGTTGTGTGTTTTGAACCCTCTCTTGTCCGTCAGAGAAATTTTCATGGCAAAAACACGGTGCTGTGACAGAATAGATTCCCCAAATTGTGCGCGTTTTTTTCAACAAATTTCAGCTTTTCTCTTGTTCATCTCTAATGCATACTGCCAGTACCAACATCTTAGGTATGCTTCTACTAGGGATTTCATTCTAATATTTTTCGCATAGTTCCAGAAAGTCAGGGGACCCACTTTTCCCGAAAAGCAAAAACTGCTACTGTTACCTAATATGTTTATTGCATATTTCAAAGAATAGCAACTAATTCTCATTCTAAAATGTATTGCATATTAAAGACATAGGTGAAACCTAGGGTTAGTTTAATGTGATTCACAATCACAAAATCAACCCAAAAACAGCTGAATTCTAGAACTGCTTGGTATGAACTACTTTGTAACTGGCTCTTAAACATTCCAGAATATGCTGAAAGAATAATGTTGACATTTTATAGCAATGGTGTTTCTAAAATTTTAGCAAAAATCATTGAAGACCAATATAGCCTTACTTCAGTGCAAGTCCAATGGAACGCCGCGATTCATGGTGGTTTTGATAATTTAATAAACCTGAAGAACGTTCCCTCTCCAGTTGCTGCAAATATACAGGGCCATGAAATATTGACTTTGAGCAATAGTGATTTTATGCAAATTAAAGAATCTTCTTTGGACTTTTGTATTAAAAAGTATATTTTTACTATTCAAAGTGCCACGTCACATGAAGCAGTACTAGATTCTATAACGAAGCTTACTTTGTAAGTAAATTTAAGAACATTTATTTAAAAATGTTAACGTTATTGTTTCAGATATGTGCATCTTGGTGACACATTAACCCAACTTGGTGAAGAAAAATGTATTGAAGTAGTTCGTTATCCTTGGAAAAAATCTTTTATAAGATATGTCGATTTTTTGCCATCTGGTGATGATGATATTAAGATATCGGAATCAGTTATTAAATTTTTAATTGTCTTGGTGCCACTTTTCAAAGATCCAGAACCCTGCTGGATCTCTAAATTTCTCAAAAACCCCAAGAATCCATTATTAAATTCATTATCAGTTGAATACTGTGCAGAGGAAAATATAAAAACGCTAGGTCAAGCACTCCTCAAACTCATAACACTTTGTGTTCTTCGTGAATCTGATCATTTAAATTCTAGTGCTTCAAATATTGAATTGACCTCTGATTGGGGACATGTGATAAGGATTATCGGTCAAAATTTACAATCCGAGGATACTCAGCGTTTTAGCAATTTAGGTAAGATTAACAACTAAGAACTTACTCATCAATACAATTTACTTGGTTTTTACAGCGTATTTGGTTGCCTTATTATCGTGTTTAGTAAATTTAACATCCAAATTAGGCTGGAGCCACTGTAAGCCTGATAATCCACCCAAAGAACCGATACCTCAACTTATTTTAAGTCTATGCGATTTATTAGCATCATTCCATTCTACCAGAGGAGCTTCTACCGGTGTATCTGTAATGGGTATAAGTGTTTCAAGAAATATAATCCTGACTTTGAATCATCTCTTGGCCGAAATTTTCCATTTTAAAGTGAAGGTATGACATAAATATATTTATAACTCATTTCTAATTTTTGAGCGTTTCAGAAATGGGAACGATGCTTCTTCGAACATGATGAAATACGGAGAGCAAGGAAGAGTTTTTTTTCTGTCTGGACTAGCAGAGATGTTATTTTAAGAGCCGCAGCTGTACAATTAATTTCAAATTTAACTACTTCTTCTAAAGCAACTGACGAAGTACTAAATGGTAATAATATATTACTTTAAAGTTTTCCACATCAAAATATAAAAAATAAACGGTACTCTATGGAATGATTTTGGTATCTCTGCATTTTTCTGACGCTCTGTCAATATTCTCTGTTAGGCAATGTTTGACACAGCAAATTTTGTGCAGCGACAGCTAACTTAGGCTCAAACACAGGAATATCGGAACAGTTATCTTATTGAAAAAATATGAAACCCATCGAGTGAGATGTCACATGAATCATTAGTTACAACTGGCAAATTGCTTGGGTCCAGGTCAGCCCTGCCTTTTTTTTGTGGGAGGTATTCAATTTCTATCTTGCTGCAAGAAAAATTACAGGACTTTATTTTTCAGATCTTCTTGAGCTCATATTTTTTTCCTTCTATTGAGTATTCAAATTATTATTATTATTATTATTATAGGGGTTTTTGACAGTAGGCGGAAAAACCGGTAGACTGTCATTAGTTCTTGTGCTGGGAATGTTACTTGCCAGTACACTCTTTTACGGCCTATCACTAAAATATTTATCAAGTCTGTTCTTAAATGCATTCACACTAGGGGAGGTTACAACCTCAGGGAGCTGATTCCACTCGGTTTGTGAAAAAATTCTTCCTGGAAAGTCTGTGACAAAGTCCAGTGGAGAGCTTCATTGAGTGTCCACGAAGATGAGGGTTGATCGAGGGGTTGATATTTCTGTGAAAGAAATCAATGTCGCATGTGTAATGATTATGTAGGATTTTGTATGTTTCAATTAAGTATCCTCTATTTCTGCGTTCCTCCAGAGTTGTCAGATTAAGAGCTTTCAGTCGTTCTTCATAAGACAATTCTCTAAAAGATGGTGGAATCTTGGTTGCCCTCCTCTGGACACGCTCAATCAGATCTATGTCTTTTCTGAAATAGGGACACCAAACCACAACAGCATGCTCCAGTGGTCTGATGTAGGTTTTGTAGGCTCGGAGAAACACTTCACGGGACATTTCCCTGAAACATCGTCGTATCAAATAGACTGTTGAGCTGGCTCGCTTCACGATTGCATGTATGTGCTGTTCCCATTTCAGGTCATGCGAGATATTTACTCCTAAGTCGGCCTGCTCAGTCACCCTTTCCAAGTTGTTATTGCCCATATGGTAGTCCAGCATAGGATTGTTGTATCCAATGTGCAATACACACCATTTGCTGACATTAAGTTTCAATAACCAGTCCTTCGTCCACCTATCCAGCTCAGCAAGATCCTCAACCATGGCATCATATTGGAATGTAGGGTCACAAAATATCTTGGTGTCATCAGCATACATACTGGTCCTGCAGGGCATGTTCTGGGCAATATCTGAGACATATTCTCACCTATCCTAAAATTGATTATAAATCACACAATAATTTATGAAATTTATTTTTCCATTACGTCATAATCTAGACATTAGACAATTTTTTCCGCAGATATGATTTTTCTAAGCTCTTCGTTTAGCTTAATGTGGGATGGTCTATTGCACAGGATCGTATAATAAATCTATGCAATGTATTGTTTCGGTCTTTACATTTTTGACGATAACTATATCTAATAAAGCTTCTACTTATGCAGTATAATTCTAATATTTGAATAATATGAAGTAAGTTAGCTTGGCCAACGCTTTACCGCTGTTCTTGTTTCCAGACTTTGAACGCTACAAAGCAAACATTTGGGAACTTGCCCTAAGGATAATAATTGATTACGGAGAAGCAGGAGTAGTCAAAGAAAATGCAGCATTGATACTCGCCAATTTAAGTATTTATATTTCAAGAAAAACACGCTCAGGTAGTATGCCGTCACTTTTCTTTATACCATCTTGTGATTCAAGAAGTCGAAAGGTATGTATTGTGTAGGTATTTTTCAAAACTTTCACTAATATTTTTTTCTAGGACAAAATTAAAATCACGAAGTTCTTGGAAGACTATAATTTTTATGATCACGTAGGACTCGTTTTAACGCCTGCATATGCAAGGGATTGTGGCGACCATGGAGAACGAAATGTTTTAACTGAAGATCAAGACTCAATAATGCAAAGTGTTTTTAGCTCGGTTGTCAGTTTAAATGACGAACCTCAACTAACTCCTCTTAACTTATACACTCCAGGTTTTATGAAAGCCTTTTGTAAATTTTTATTTAATATGATTGATTTGGCTCCAAAGGAGATTTGCCAGATGATTCATGAAAGAGGATTTGTCAAATTAATTTGCGGGTAAGCAATTTCAGAATCATAACCCAATAAAATTATCATTAGGGTGGTGATATCCAGGATTCGTTTATTTTATTTTTTGTTAATATCACATTTTCCTGCAAAAGTTGTGGAAATTAATTTACTGGATTAACGTTGATGAAGCGAGCTTTTAATGGAGCCGGAATCTGTAACAATATAGTTCCTATAACCTATTTAAGTACCAAATTGTTCTCTAACAACATGGAAAATAATTCATCGGACTGTTTCTATTTCTTGGGGTTATTTTTTCTCTCTCAGCATCCGCATGCTTATCTCCTGGGGAGCAAATATGAAGTAGGTATAGGATAAATTGATTGAATTTTATCCACTATTTGAAGGAGAGACTGAAGAAATAATAATAATAATGAGGTGTGATAATGGTTTTCACTTCAAAAATGTCCAGGTAAAAAGTGTGTGCTTGCTGAGTATCTACAGTTGGCTTCACAAAAGTTCAAAAAGTTTTGACCTCAGACTATTAGAAAACCCACCGTTTTCGTTAGAGAAGAAAAATTAATTCTCATTGTAGTGATTTTGGTTGGCGATGGTTAAGAAAAATCCTAGGAATATTCTGAAGGCTATTATGGAAATCCACAAAAGCCAACAGATGTCTGTTTCATTCAATCGTCTTCTCAATTGAGGCTTTTATGCTTTGAAGGTGATCGTTGATACCAAATTCCCTCCAAAATCCAGCCTGCTCTAGTGATTGAAAAAAGTTTATTTCTGAATCTGGTGTTTATGATTGTGGTGTAAAGTTTGTAGAGATGGATTAGCAGGCTTATGGGTTGGTAGTTCTCCATTCCGGCTGTTTTTCCTTTTTTGTGAAATAGCATAATAATGGAATTTTGTCATTCATTTGGGATAAAGTTATTGAAGACAATTTTTAGTTTTTGGAGCAAACATTATCCTATTTCTATTGCATTAGCGATCACATTATCTTCACCTGGTGCTTTAATGTTTCTGGTTCTCTTCAGGGCCGATTTTATTTCATCAGCTGTAATATTGGGCAGTTCCTCCGAGCCCCGGTTGTCGATTTTTTGGACGTTAGAAACTCTTTATCTTGTTCTGTCACAGCCTTAATGACCTCGTGTCGACTCTTATATAGTAGCTTATAGAATTTTTTTACGACGCGCAGTATTTCTTTTTGGTTGTAGTTGTTCCTTCTTTGTCTTGAATCTCGCAAATTTTCTCTCTTCCATTTGTAAGTTTTCTACATAGGCAGTTTTTGCACGTCTTCTATTTCTTTGCTTTTGCATTAGGGGACCTGGTTTCCTTGCTGAGCTTCGCAAATGTCTAGGATCTTGGGCAGTATCTACTTTGACTTTCGGATAGGCTGTAACTATTGTGTCGCTAAGTGAATTTTTGTTTGTCACAGTGTCTGTTACTTTTGGTATCTTGTCGTTGTTTGGTGAATTTCAGGAGCAGTTGTAGTTTAGCCACATCAAAGATAATAGAAGTCGATATTTTTTATCAAGAAGATGATAATCTTCTTGATAAAAAAAAAACTTTGTATTAAAATGAGCGAAACCTAATAGGAAAAAAGTACAATTATTTTTTTTTAGGATAATTTGCTCTCCTTCAAAAACGGTCGACGATAAAAAGGAGCTAATATTCAACTGCAGCTTATTGGAGATGAATACAGCAGTTTGTACTTGTTTAAAGAGAATTTGTTTAGTGAATAAAGCAAGTTTAGTTACTCTTTTACATTCCAGAGAGTCTTTAAATGCATTATTTTCTTTGCTGAACTCAAAAAACTATGGTAAGTAGTAATGCGTGAAATCTTTTTCTGAGTCTACAAAGGTACATTATTCTTTTAGAAACTTATTTATCCCCATTACTGTATCTGAGAAATAATTTGTGGAGTGAAATTTTTAATCTTATAACTACGTTATTAGATGGCTTCGCTGAACAAAAAGTTACCTCAAAAAGCATTGATGCCCTTTCAATGATCGCTGACACGATTACAGAGACTGGAACTGGTGTATTTCTAGGTACACTGTGTGAATCTCTGGGCTCTATTGGAACAAGCCGTAATTTGTGTATTTATTGCTTAGAATATTTTCTTATATGTAGTTATTTTTCAGATCTTCAGAATTCGTCATTAGCTACCCTTGTAGCCTTACTTCGTATAGAGTGTGCCATAGCTTTAAACACAGGGGAAAATTCTATTCCCAAAACACACTCTATTGAAAGTCTGCTGGACACTGTTAGAAGCCACAAGACAATCCTGATATCTTCTCTCAAAGAGAACACTGAGCTTCAAGAAAGAATTGACCGAGCAGGAAACAGCAAAACTTATAAAAAAAACCTTCTAGAAGAAGCATATTTTGGTGAAGCTGGTCAACTAAGATCTAACCAGCAACAAGAAGGCAGCGAGATTAGTATTATTGATAGTTCTGATGATGATGCCTCTATGACAGGAGCAGAGTTTTGTAAAATTATACTTTATTTGTTTGATATTGTCAACATTAAATTACATTTGGACAATATGGGGACGAAAAGATATTTGGTCAATGCCGCATTAACAGGGCTTCTATGTATTTCCCAAGAAGCAAAAAAGCTAGCTGTACAAAAAGGCGTTATGAAAACTATTGTAAAAGAACTAAGAGACTATCATGTAAAGTTGAGCTTAGAGTCCTTTGACAATCTTCGGAAAGTACAAGATAGAAGAAGAATATGCCCAATGTTGGAAAAAATTGGCTATTTCATTGGATTGGCAACAAACTTTATGTTGAATGCAGTAGATGTTAAAAAGTTGGCAGCTAGTTTGGATCTGGCAGATGTTACTCATAAACTGTGGGTGTGGTTTTCATATCAAAACGCAATGAATAATGTGCTTAAAATGTTATCGGTTTATACTTTCCAATGTCCTCAAGGTAAGATTTCTGATTTCAGACGTAAAAGTTACTACATATTTTTTTTTTTTTAAATATTATGTCAAGATTTTGCTACTAAAAACTCTTTATCATGAGGAATACGCACTAAAAGAAATAGTTCGAGTGTTTTCGGAATTATTATGTGTGCATCATTACAGTCATCCTTATACATATCAATATTTTTACAACTTGTTTTATACCTGAATATTGGCTACAAATATGTGGTGCTACGCCATTGTTAATATTAGTAGTGCTCTATGAACAAGTAGCAGAAACCAAAAAACATTTGAAACTAGTAGTAGAAATTAAATTTTGCATGTCTTCCTTTGAAATAGATCACACAGAATTTTTTTTTTATTTGGAAAAGCATACATTTCTCGTCACTTTATATGTATTGAGGTTTCACTACTACTTAACTGCTAGCAAGGAAACATACTTGAAAATCCAATATAATAATGTTTTTTAAACTTTTCAATTCAATTAAGGATTAAAATAAACAAATTCTAGTTAGTTTCTACAAATTTAAGAATGCGCCATGAGAGAATGAATAGTGGAAAAGCTCTAAAATAAATTGATTCACCGCGGTTCTACATTTTTGCAAGTGGAAGTTTATCTCACAAGGTATAAAACTAATGTTTCTTTGGGAATTTGGGTCGTTTTCAGTATGCTTGCTTCAAAAACGAAAATAGCTGCTGTGAACCTCAACTTATTCTAGATAACTTATAGCTTGTAGCCCATATGAAATTTTAATTGCGAAAGCAGCAGATGCTGATGGTACGGTACAAGTGAAACCCAAAAAGCAAGAAGTCTAGATGATGACGTCATGCTCTTAGTCTCGAAACCGTATGACTTGATTTTAAAATTAATATAACCATATGTTTTTAGCTTGCCGAACTCTCCTATTTACCAACCCAAACGTAGGATCTGGACCAAGGAGGACTTTGGGCACTGCATCTCTGTTGCATTGCATTATAGCTATAATTTTGAAGCAAATGGACCAAATTAATCAAACTCACGATCTACACGTTTTAGAATTAGCTTTTGACATATTGCAAAATTGCTGTGATTTGATTGAGTGCCGACTTAGAATTTCACAGGTATGTTATAATTTATTATATCGAAATAATCTTCTGCTTCTTGCAGACATTCTCCCGTTTATATCTATTCACACTTCTGACTTGGACTTCTTGAGAGTTCATACCATATCTGGAGAAAGAAAGACCGTCCCCTTTGCTCTGCATTTCTTCACAGTACCTGTTGTTATCTTGCCGTTCCACTTGTCAAGATGTCAAAAGATAAGGCCTGTTCATATTTCCTAGAACATGTCGATTATGTGTTTGTTTTTGTGGTCTCTTAGTGATGGAAGATGGAATAACAAACATAGGAAATTCGGTCCTCCGTCTTTTAATTCCTCCGTCGATTATTCGATCTCTCTGGACTCTTGGCAGTTTTAGTAGCACGGTATCCTATCCTATTATATCCTATCCTATAAAGTATAAAGAATCATTATACTAGGCGTCATTTATGTTTTAAAAATATTATTAACGGTGACGGTGAATAAATGAAGAAGTTCACTGATATTTGATTCTTCAATGATTGTGGGAAACTAAAAAAACGGTCAGGCTAATCTACCTCATTAGAAGTAAAGTACAAAGAAAGTATGCACATATATTACCTCCCAACACGTTTTTCCTATTTTATTATTATTATTATTATTATTATTTTGTCCAATAGCAGGCGGTAGAAACCGATGAGGCTATTGCTAAATTGTCTAAGTACACATATTTGGCGTATTGCACTATAAAAGAGAAGGCTTTCTCAAAAGCTATTTCTATGGTCCATAATGGACTAGTCTTGAGGTGGATTCCTGCATCTCTTGATCAAGTCTGTTTTTCAACTGATTCACACTAGACGCACCAACTGTATCCTCCTCCAAAGAGTTCCATGTATACACTATTTGATTAGTAATAAAGTTTTTTCTAGGAAATTTCGCGGATTTCTCTTTGGAAAGTTTTTTTGAGTGACCTCTTAAATATTGATTATTATTGAAATGAAAAATGTTTGTTAAACAGCACGAATATTAGTCATTAGTTATTTTATAAGTTTCGATTAAATCACCTCGCATTCTTCTTTCTTTCAGAGTTGTTAGCTTTAGAGTTTTTAGTCTGTCACTATACGGTTTGTTCCTCAATTCTAACGGAATTTTAGTAACGCGTCTCTGGAAATATTTTGGCAATAAAGTTCCCACCTAAAAAGCTTGATCATCTTCTTGTTGGCTGATTGGAGCATAGATTCATCTGATATTGTTTTGTTATTGATCTCTAGTATTATCTATGTTTACCTATTGTACTTACCAAATTATTTTTTCCAGAGTAATTTGTTCCAAGCCATCATGAAACTTAATCCAGCAGTAACAAAACGGAAGCACCCATGGAGTAATGTGGAATTGCTGTGGATAAAATTCTTAAAGACGTATACATACTATCCAGAAGGACAAACTGCCCTAATGAAAGATATTGATACATTAGAGGTAGTCATAGCATTAACTAAGTCCAATAATCGCCAAGATGCCTTATTGATTCTGAGAAATGTGTCATTCTATCGCTCAAATAAAACCAAATTGCTATCCTCAAGAGCTTTTCTGAACCTTCTACAAACCAAACTGGCAAATGGCACTCGAGATGAAAAAAGGATGATTTTATCAATTATGTGGACCTTGGCAGCAAACTGCCAAAAAGCTAAAATAATTTTTAAATCGGCCCATCTTGACGTGAGACTGGAAAATACCATCAAATGTACTGAACTGGTCGAAAATTCACGTGAAGCCATGGAAAAAGAAGATTTGGATATGATGTATGTAGTTTTGAGTGTCTTGAGAGACAAAGATAAAATCAGGAAGAGAAAGAAGTGAGCTTTATAATAATGTAAAGGTGTTTCACGTATGCACTTTAATTCATTCCCTAGTAGTTGAGCTAATCTAAAAAACCCAAATAGTCTCGAATTTTGTTAAAAATATAATTTTTTATTTATATTTTCGTTTAAATATCCTGCAGAAAGTTTATAATGACTCCATTTTTATTTTCTAAATTAGGTAATTAGTGGATGGTCAGCTTAATCTGTCAATGCAAATATTTTATTATGCATTAAAAAAAAAACAAAAAAAAAGCACTAACAAAAAATAACATAGATCCATGTAAACTCTAATTTTTGGTGAGTTGCTGGACGGTTTGATTAACAACTGACAGAAGTTGTTATTTGAAGAGGTTTAAATTGTTACAAAGTTAGGGCGAAAATAGTTCAATGCTCAATTTTAATCAATTCTTGAGGAAAAGTGCCAAGAGTTACGTGGAATACCTTAGATTTTTAGATAGATTTTAGTAGTTGTTAATTTTTCCTTTTAAATTATAAAAACACAAGTGATGTAAGAATGAGACATTTTATGAAACTTTTAATTTTTAGACTGGTGTTTAGGATAAAAATGAGACAATGAGTTTTCAGGCCGCTCGAAGAGCGCTCGCGATATAGCACGCGATGCTAAGACGGCCCTGATGCCGAGCCTAATCCAATTTGCACTTACTATATTTTATCAAGTCGGATTTACTTGTTTATGTATAGATTATATTAACGTTTAAATCGATATGATTGTAGATTCTATGATGTATTGATTTTATTCTGCAACATTTTCGTCCCAAAATGGTGCTATTTGGTAGTTGCTAATCATACGACTGTCTCATTTTTACCCATAATTTTAATTCTCTCATTTTTGCAACATTTCGCCTTAGTGATAATAGTTGTTGTTGTAATTTATTAATATATATTTTTTTAATTGAACACAAAGTAATTTAATACATATTTTTTTAATTAAACGCAAAGTAGTTTTACTGATGAATTAGGTACAGGGTGATCCATTATAAAGGTCACCTCCTCCTAACTTTTTCATTTGACGTTTTTGACAAAAGTTTTTAGCTAAGTCAGTTTCAAACATACAGGGTGCGTCAAAAAAGTGTAGCAGCGAAGATAAACCAGGAGATAAACATATCAAACCGTATATGGTTGAAGGGGACTAACAAATATGCGCACAATATACATGGTATTCTATTTAGAAAAATGCAACTTCGTTCTGCTACACTTTTTTGGTGCACCCTGTATGCTTGAAACTAAGGGCGGGTATTATAAAACTGCTTTGAGAGTTAACTTAAAGTTAACTTCTGGAATTACATGTAATTTAAAAAGTTAACTGTCAAAGCAGTTTTATAATACCCGCCCTAAATCAGTTAAAAACTTTTGACAATTTCTTAAAACTTCTGTATTTGACACTTCTGTCAAAAATGTCAAATAAAAAAGTTAGGAGGGGGTGACATTTATAATAGATCACGTGTACATGTACATATTTGTTATCCAAAAGTAAACATAAATGTTCGCTTAACCGAAGGTTGAAAAGTTCCTGTTAAATTTGATTTCAACCCATTTGGATTTTACAGGCTGTCAAAGTTGCTAAGTACCAATCTTCACTTGACATCTGATAGGTCACCCCTGATATATTCTTTCAAAGAACCAGAACCACCCAAGACTTCGCTAATTTGAAGGCACTGAAAATTATCGTGGTCTTGTTCATGGATGTATGGCTCCTTGTTCCTCTGGGCATCCACATTCAGACGTCTGATTCAGCACAGGCTATCGAAACAATAATGGCCTTAATATTTTCATTCCTAGAACTGCCGCATTGGCTCATCAACATCATGAGATAGAATTTTTTCCATGTTTCAAAATATATCTGTGCCGGATCCTGTGATAGCTATAATCTTTGATCTGAAGTAAGCGTCTGAACTGAATTGGATTCTGATTAATGATTCATGCAGGGTCTGTTCCTTAAGATAAAACCCTACTAACTTTTGTCTATATTTAACTTTTTTTTGTATTTTTTTTTTGTATTTTTTTTTGTTTAGGTTATAGAAGCCGCACTAATTATAAGGAACAGACCCTGTGCATATCTTCCAAAATTAACAACTGAAATTGAAATGGACAATTTTCAATTTTATGATTATGTACATAATACCTATGAAATGAAATATTTATTATTAGCCTTAAAGCAACTTCCTACAATATTAACATTATAATTTTCTATTAAATAAGCACTTCAGTAAGTTTAACATAAACCCTAATTTATAAACAAATCCTGAAAGATAATCCAAACATTTAAAGTAACGAGAGAAAAAAGTCTTGACACTCATTGACAATTAAATTTTTAGTTTTTTCCAAGATACAATTGCTTTAGCCAAAGAATCTTTAGCTTTCTAATAAATAGTTTAACTGTGGTTTTTTACCTCTAGCGGTAACGGCAACGCATTAAAATACCTCAAGCCATCACTAGAAAGACTTTTTTGCAATATGAGTCGTTCTTGAAAATTCGATATTCAAATTATGCTTTGATCTAACATTGTATGAGTATTTTTCTGACCCTGGAATAACATGTTCTTGTGAATATTCAGGCAATAAATTATTTTTAATTTTATAAATGATCAGAATATTGGCAACCTTAATACTTTGCTGTACTTCACTTAGAACTGGCGAAATAAGTAAAAGCAAAAACCCCTAGGTGCTGTGGCACCTGTATATTAAAATTAGGCATAATTAACAAGGATAAACAAAACAAAAAATTAATTAAATAGGACAGTCTGGTATTATTTGCATATCTATTACCTACATATCTATCATCCATAAGATAAATTATAATAAACACAATGACAAATGGTTATATTATTCCACTATAAAACTCTTTCACAATTTAGGGAAAGGCGTTTGAACTTGAACCCTTTATCAGGCGGTAGATTTGTAAAATTTTGAACCCAGGTATTTAACTGATTTCTTAACAAACTCACTTCTGCACCTTGGTACAATGAGATATGACTAGATGCATTAAGACTTCTAGTGCGATAATAATGATCTAGTAGTAATTTTAATATTATTATGATTGTATCAAGACAACCTCGACGACAAATTACCTTGTCATGCTGGTAGGGAGTGGCGTCATCAGGCTAACTTTCTATTACTCAGAAAACTGTAGACAGTTAAAAGACCCAATTAACGGATTAATCGGAGACGAATAAAGGCGACGAAATGAACGAAACCGAACAATGAGCATTGGTACATGGAACGTTCTAGGAATGCCTAGCAAGACAAAGTAATATCAGAGATCAAATATCAAGAAAATGTTGGGCAGTATGATAGTTTCTTCAGCGGATTGTATAGGTAATAATAATTATAGAAGATGGAGAAAACATAAAACATCATGGGAAGCAGTAAACGAAACAATAATAAAAGTAAATGTTTGTGTGAATCCGTAAGTGTAAACAACGCAGTGATCAAATCATGAAAGTAGGAAATTCAAGCAAAATGACATGGCTGGGACACTTTAATGGACGATCAGGAAGAGAAGCAACGACAAGGTAGTAAGAAAATTTGGAGAGAATGTAACCACAATGGAGAAAGGCTGATACCAATATGCCAAAAAAATACCCTAAATGTTTTAAATTAATACTTTCAGCATAAGAAAATACATAAATATACATGTGGAATTAGTGTCTATAATATTCTACTACTGTCCAAAGCTACTTGTGTTAGGACTGTTAGATGCCTCTGTCTCCAGTATGCCTCTTTGTAATGTGGATGTTTATATATAAATATATGTAGTATGTTTGATATGTTTTTTGCTCTATTTTTAGAGTTATGTACCTATGCTATTTTGACTACATATTTTATATTTTATTATCTGGGAATTTCTTTTAATATTGCTTGTAACTACTCAAGTTTTATCCCAGTTATTAGTTTTGTTTGTTCTTCAATTATTATCTGCTACTCGTTTTCTTTTCTAAGAGCTTCGTTAAAAACTGTTATAGAACAATAGCATTATTTGACTTTGACTTTTGGAAAATGGAACTAGACAACAAAAATCGATTATTGACTAAAACATTATTGCAAAACGGACATCAAACATAAAATTCTAAAATGCGAGAGCGCATAGATATGGGAGAGACGCGGCCTGTGACAGTGAAGATTGAAAACGAAAATGTATTCCTGGGAGAAATATCGAAAGGCACAACTTAGAGGAAGACAAGAAGTCAAGATAAAGGAATACAACCTAAAATCACTAGAAAAACAAAGCGTAAAGGGGTTAAGTAAGGTATGAAAAAACTGTAAAGAAATACCAACAGCAGCCAACAGTATAGGTTCAAATAGAACAGGCGATAAAGAAGTAAAAATAAAAAAAGCACAAGAAAGATAACGGAAAAAAACGAACTCGTACGTTATACTTATATTTGTCTCGAAGGTAAAATAAACACAGAAAGTTAGAGAATACTGAAAAATATAGTCGAGAACAGGTCGGTTTAAGAGCAGGAAGATAAACAGTAGACCAAAAAAAGCGATAAAAAGCACTAGAAAGACCAATATTAACTTAGAACTAATAAAGGTAGTTAAAAGACAAAAATATAGATTAAACAGGGATATAGGCAGCAAGGGCTTCACAGCAACTAAAGAACTGTAATAGAGGGATGCTGCCATATCCATATCAACAACAATTTTTAAAATATACTCAATAATAAATAATACCTAATAATACATTTACACCGATAAAACCTCGGATAAAACTATCGAAAAATCATTATTTTTAAAGTATTATTTGAGCTCCGGATTATGGGTCTCATAAGAATCGCGGTAATTTGCGGTCAGCACTATTTTTGAAAAGATTCAAATTTCTGGACTAATCCGCTTCTTCCGACATTGCGTACAATTCGGCTAGTAATAAAATCTTTCCTGGGAGCTTAAATGTTTTGCTCTGTCTCTAACTTTAGAGAATGTCCATGCATTTGCATTTGTACAATTTCACTAAATTCAAACGGAATCAGAGCTGCAAGTTCCTGTTCTTGCACACGGTTTAAAACTGCATTCTTTTTGGTATAAGACATCTCACGCATTACATCCCACACTCAGGCAGGACTGTGCACTTTTCTTCATCTAGTTTCATCCTCCATTTCTATTGTGTCAAGGGTTGGCTTAAAGGCGCGTATTCATACAGCGAACGAACGCGAACGAATTCGCTCGAATAAATTCGCCCGAATTTGTTCGGCGTTTGCTATAAAATTGGTATTGTGTCCACATATGGAGGAAAGAATGCGTTCACAGTCATTCGTTTATTTTCGCGGGTATATTGTTTTAAATGTTAAAGCTAAAGCTGTCAAGCCGTACTCATTACAAAGCAGATCAAACGAATTCGTCACAAATTTCTTTTGATGTAGGTACCGCCTGTCGAGCGAACTCTGTATGAATAGGAATACGCGCCTTTTACCGAACAAATTTGTTCGGCCGCATCATCCGTTATCGCCTTAATAGTGTTCATCAGGATTAAACACAGTTGATGATTTTATATCTGCTGCTAAATCACTGATGTTAACCAGGAACAACAATGGTACAAAAATTCGACCATGAAAGGGTGGAAAAAGAAATGCAGATACATATAGATATGTATAAGGCTCAAATCAGACCATGTATGGGATATACTCTTCTCACATCTAAAGCGATGCTCCTAAGCATTTGTGGCTCGATTAGATGCAGTACAAAGAAGAGCAATAGAAATCATCGATAACCCAACTCTCACCGATGCATTCTCGAACATAGATGCAAGGAGGCCGACTTGTCGTTATTCTATCGCTATATCCAGTAGGAGAAGCTATTTGAGAACCACAAAGACCCTCACGGGCATTCCAATCATCCCATCCGTGTGTGGTAAAGTTATGGCTAGTTACCCTGAGGGCCTCTAGATAGGGCTTCTTTTTGGTGGAGTACTGTGTCCACCTCTGGAACTCCATGCCGCACTACCCCATTCCAGAACGACTTTACTTAAACGTATTCAAACGCAGGGTTATTCGTCACTTAAATTCTTCCGCTCATGTTATCGCTCAGGTAGTACCTATAGACTTTGTCTTTTGTGAGAGGACCAATAAAAAAATATATATACCTATATAATAATTATGGGGATTATGATAAACTAGAGTACATGAGTACCTAGGTACAAGACACCCAATAATAGTAGATGATAATATCAAAGACCAAAGAATACTGATCTCGTTCGGACAAGACAATAAGAAGCAAGGAATGCGAGAATACCCAAGCAAATCATCGAGCCAGGGGGAAGAAGACGCGGCAAAGCGAGAAGAAACTGTAGAAGTGGAGTGGACGCGGAAATGTGAGAGGCTTTGACGATGATGCCTGGATAAACCAGAGGATGATTGGAGATCGGTAATCGGAAAACGTCCTGGATAAACAGAGGATGATTGGAGATCGGGAATCGGAAATCGGAAAACATAAAACTTTATAGACCACACCACAAGATAGACCAATATAGGAGGCTAGGTGATTGCAGTTTTTTGATTTATTAATTATGATGCCCTAATCCTTATAATCTATGTGGGGCACCAGTTATCATTTATCAATTTCTAAAGATTTATGTTTGTAACCGAGTCAGTTTCAGTAGAAACACCGCAATTACAACAATAAAATAATAATATAGGTACTTTAGATGAAGATAAAAAACTTAATTTTTTTCCTTGATAAATCCTGACATTAGAGGAATCTCAGGATTGCGGTTTTAAAAAGATTAAACATTATAAAAAACCTATGTTCCTAGGTACTCAAGCGCTCGGACTAGTCTAGTAAACCATGGCATGGCAGCAGCCGCAGCCCGCAGCAGCGCAGTAGGCAGTCAGTAATCAATCACAGAAATTAAATTCGATGTTCGAATATAAAATATAAAGTCTTAATTTAATCAATTTCGAGTTTCCGGTTGGCGTGGGTAGTGACGTGATTCGTGGAACAATAATATTGTGTGAAATATCGGAAGCGGTTGGGTTGTGTACAATAATATGGCTGATAATGGGACTAATTTTCCCCCACAAACTTATTCTTCAATTTTCAATCTGAATGTTATGCCCGCCCAGGTGAGTTAGGTTATGTTATGGCTAGTTTATAAAAATAAACAAAAACATAAACATTGATCTTACGCTGTCATTAATCAGGTAATTTATTGCTGCTTTTCTGGTTTGTTTCTGATTCCTAAAAAGATACATGCCTTAGTTAAGAAGCCAGTTATCCGTTTGTTTATTCTCAATTCATAAAGCTTATTTTCAATATTCTTTTCTCATTGCAGACTGCAATAATTCTATTCCTAGGTGGTAGGACTAGTAGTGCACTCGGTGGGGCATTTCAAAAGTATCTTAGTGAAACACACTTCAAGGCCCTTATTGCTATTTCTTTGATACTATATCAAATTTAACATCTCATTTATCTTTGTGGCTTTCAATAACAATGATATATTATCATCTAATTACAGGGGCGGATGGGGAGCATAAAACCGGCCCGGGAAACTGTTGGCACCGGCCCTGCGAGATCACTATTTTAAAACCATTTTATGTATTTTTCTAAAACTAAGTTTTTGAAGTAGGTACCTAACTAATGGTAAATGATGAGGTGAGATACATAATATGAATAGGTACTCACGACTAACATTGGAATTATGAAGAAAAAATCTCAAACAAGTAGGTATCTTTTTACTTTTTTTGTCCAAAGTAAAAATGCTGCTGGAAAGTGTTTTGGAACGTTCTAAATGGTTTATTGAAGTTCTAAAGTGCTCTAAGTTGGCTTGAAGAATTTTGGAGCATTCTAGAAGTTTTGCAGTAATTTATAAATTGTTCTGACAGATTTCTAAGTATTCTAGAGCCCTATTGAAGCTCTAAAGTGTTCTAAATTGGTTCAAAAATGTTCTTAAATTTGAATGTTTTAAATGCTTATTAGAGGTCTAAAGTTCTACGGCAATCTAAGTTTGCTCTTAAAAGCCTTCTGAAAGGCGTTTTGTAACTCTTTCTCGCACTTTTCAAAATGTTTCTGGGGATTCTAGAGTGTTTTGGAGCGACCTGAAATGGGTTTCTTACTTCTGAGTTATTCTAAAATACTTTTGGAAATTTTAAAATGAATGTTTTGGGACATTCAAAAATGGTTCTGAAATTTCCAAAATTTTCTGAAGCGCTACAGAATGCTTTTGAAAATTCTGAATTGAATTTCAAGTCTTTTCAACTTTCTAAAAGACCTAAGGTTCTAAAGTAATAATAATTTATTCAATACTCAGGTACAATAATTAGGTACAAATGACTTGGAACTGCACAATGGATTATAAAATCTGTGTGTGCAGATGTTAATACTTATTGCCTTAACTTAAATATACCTATATAATAATATCACTAGTAAGGTTAATAATTATCTAATAACATGGAATTAATTTAACAGATTTGATAAAATTTAACAAAATTCAACAAAATTAAATGAAAATAAATTAAAGTTAAATCTAATTAAAACCATTAATAGTTACTCCACTATCCACTATCCATTTCCTAATCCTATGCCTAACCTGACAGTACTTCCTTGTTCTCAAGCAAGGAGGTAAAATATTATAAAGTTTTGGACCAGTAAAGTAAAGGTGTCTCTGTATGGCTGAAGTGGTCACAGATGGTATAATCACATTCTGACGAATTGCATTTCTAGTATTGAGTTGATGGGTAATCTCCTGTTTATAATAATTTGGTTTTAGCATAAAACGAATTGCCGCTAGCATATATAGTTGGTTTAAAGTCAGTAGTTTGCACTCATGGAATAATAAATTGGAGGAATATCTTCTATTTTTAAAATACATGATTTTAATTACATATTTTTGAGCTACATTTAGGGCTGATATAATATTCTTTCGGGCATTTCCCCAGACAACAATACCATAATTTAAAATTGATTCAATTAACGACACGTATATGGTTTTAACCGGTGTGAAGTTAGCAGCCAAAACTTGGCAGCCAATTTGGCGGAAACGCCCGAACGACCAGTGGCGTAACATTGTTTTTTAATGCAAAATAAATTCAATAAATCATACTTAGACATCAAGTCTAGCTATGAAATTGATAGAGTACTATTTTAATATCATCTCCAATCCCCATTCGAAATCCCATTAACTCAAACCCCGTCGAAATATGAAAAACTACCCTTAACAAGTAAAAATGCATAAATATTCAGATTTTCGTATATTTTTCCAACTCGGACGTCGAGTCTTGCCATGGAATTAATAGGGTACTCTTTTACCACCATATCCAACCCCCATGCGAAATCCCATCAACTCAAACCCCGTCGAAATATGAAAAACTACCCTTAACAAGTAAAAATGCATAAATGTTCAGATTTTCGTATATTTTTCCAACTCGGACGTCGAGTCTTGCCATGGAATTAATAGGGTACTCTTTCAGCACCATATCCAACCCCCATGCGAAATCCCATCAATTCAAACCCCGTCGAAATATGAAAAACTACCCTTAACAAGTAAAAATGCATAAATATTCAGATTTTCATATTTTTTTCCAACTCGGACTTCGAGTCTTGCCATAAAATTAATAGGGTACTCTTTCAGCACCATATCCAACCCCCATGCGAAATCCCATCAACTCAAACTCCGTCGAAATATGAAAAACTACCCTTAACAAGTAAAAATTAATAAATATTCAGATTTTCGTATATTTTTCCAACTCGGACGTCGAGTCTTGCCATAAAATTAATAGGGTACTCTTTCAGCACCATATCCAACCCCCATGCGAAATCCCATCAACTCAAACCCCGTCGAAATATGAAAAACTACCCTTAACAAGTGAAAATGCATAAATATTCAGATTTTCGTATTTTTCTCCAACTCGGACTTCGAGTCTTGCCATAAAATTAATAGGGTACTCTTTCAGCACCATATCCAACCCCCATGCGAAATCCCATCAATTCAAACCCCGTCGAAATATGAAAAACTACCCTTAACAAGTAAAAATGCATAAATATTCAGATTTTCATATTTTTTTCCAACTCGGACTTCGAGTCTTGCCATAAAATTAATAGGGTACTCTTTCAGCACCATATCCAACCCCCATGCGAAATCCCATCAACTCAAACTCCGTCGAAATATGAAAAACTACCCTTAACAAGTAAAAATTAATAAATATTCAGATTTTCGTATATTTTTCCAACTCTGACGTCGAGTCTTGCCATGAAATTAATAGGGTACTCTTTCAGCACCATATCCAACCCCCATGCGAAATCCCATCAACTCAAACCCCGTCGAAATATGAAAAACTACCCTTAACAAGTGAAAATGCATAAATATTCAGATTTTCGTATTTTTCTCCAACTCGGACTTCGAGTCTTGCCATAAAATTAATAGGGTACTCTTTCAGCACCATATCCAACCCCCATGCGAAATCCCATCAATTCAAACCCCGTCGAAATATGAAAAACTACCCTTAACAAGTAAAAATGCATAAATATTCAGATTTTCGTATTTTTTTCCAACTCGGACGTCGAGTCTTGCCATGAAATTAATAGGGTACTCTTTCAGCACCATATCCAACCCTCATGCGAAATCCCATCAACTCAAACTCCGTCGAAATATGAAAAACTACCCTTAACAAGTAAAAATGCATAAATGTTCAGATTTTTGTATTTTTTTCCAACTCGGACGTCGAGTCTTGCCATGAAATTAATAGAGTACTCTTTTAGCACCATATCCAACCCCCATGCGAAATCCCATCAACTCAAACCCCGTCGAAATATGAAAAACTACCCTTAACAAGTAAAAATGCATAAATGTTCAGATTTTTGTATTTTTTTCCAACTCGGACGTCGAGTCTTGCCATGAAATTAATAGAGTACTCTTTTAGCACCATCTCCAACCCCCATGCAAAATCCCATGAACTCAAACCCCGTCGAAATATGAAAAACTACCCTTAACAAGTAAAAATGCATAAATATTAATATTTTCGTGTTTTTTCCAACTCGGACTTCGAGTCTTGCCATGAAATTAATAGGGTACTCTCTCAGCACCATATCCAACCCCCATGCAAAATCCCATTTACTCAAACCCCGTCGAAATATGAAAAACTACCCTTAACAAGTGAAAATGCATTAATATTGAGATTTTCGTATTTATGCCTTTTCACTTGTTAACGGTAGTTTTTCATATTTCGACGGGATTTGAGTCAATGGGATTTCGCATGGGGGTTGGGTATGGTACTGAAAGAGTACCCTATTAATTTCATGGCAAGACGCGAAGTCCGAGTTGGAAAAAATACGAAAATATCAATATTTATGCATTTTCACTTGTTAAGGGTAGGTTTTCATATTTCGACGGGGTTTGAGTTAATGGGATTTTGCATGGGTGTTGGATATGGTGCTGAGAGAGTACCCTATTAATTTCATGGCAAGACTCGAAGTCCGAGTTGGAAAAAATACGAAAATATCAATATTTATGCATTTTCACTTGTTAAGGGTAGGTTTTCATATTTCGACGGGATTTGAGTTAATGGGATTTTGCATGGGGGTTGGGTAGGGTACTGAAAGAGTATCCTATTAATTTCATGGCAAGACTCGAAGTCCGAGTTGGAAAAAATACGAAAATATCAATATTCATGCATTTTCACTTGTTAAGAGTAATTTTTCATATTTCGACGGGGTTTGAGTAAATGGGATTTTGCATGGGGGTTGGGTATGGTACTGAAAGAGTACCGTATTAATTTCATGGCAAGACTCGAAGTCCGAGTTGGAAAAAATACGAAAATATCAATATTTAGGCATTTTCACTTGTTAAGGGTAGTTTTTCATATTTCGACGGAGTTTGAGTCAATAGGATTTTGCATGGGGGTTGGATATGGTGCTGAAAGAGTACCCTATTAATTTCATGGCAAGACTCGAAGTCCGAGTTGGAGAAAAATACGAAAATCTGAATATTTATGCATTTTCACTTGTTAAGGGTAGTTTTTCATATTTCGACGGGGTTTGAGTTGATGAGATTTCGCATGGGGGTTGGATATGGTGCTGAAAGAGTACCCTATTAATTTTATGGCAAGACTCGACGTCCGAGTTGGAAAAA